GCGCCTGTCACCCTGAGACATAAGTTGACAAGTTCCACCTGCCTGTGATTTCACCAGCACCAGGACATTACTGCTTGACGGCAGAAATAGGAAATAGGTAAGGTAAGCTCCTTGTGAAAGAGGTAGTCCAGGGAAGTACGACCACTTGACCTATTTATGTGAACATTATTGCGTTCCAATTTTGAAGGTTAAGAGGTTAGTGAAATTACAGGCACATGGGACTTGTCAATTTACGTCTCAGGGTGACGGGTGCAGTGGTAGTAACTCTCAGAACTTTGCAAATGGAATCTCTAAACGGCACGACGACGAGCGACAACTTATTCGTCCCGTTCCTTGGTAATATGAAATATATTATTCTTCTATTCTATTCTTGGTATCATACAAAAAAATCTGAAATATTTTTTTTTATGTAATAAATGTCATCAACAAAAATTAAATAAGGTGAATGCTAAAATAGCTCCAAAATCACCTTTGCTCGCTCTGTACAAAGACAGCCAACGGCATCACATTGCCATTTCAAACGCTCTTCTCTATCAAAATATATCAATGACACTCTGACGACTTTGTTTACTTACAATTTTTTAATCTTCAATCAAAAGTCTATCAAGGTAAATAAATTCACTTTTTTAAACATCAAATTTAAACGCTCTGTAAATGGTTTAAGATCCAATTTTCAACTAAGGACCAGGATGACCTGGATATCTAATATCTACAAAATACCCCTGCTAGTTGAGCTAGGTAGTGTAGGTAGCGACAAGCGTATACTGAGACTTGTAATGATATTAACGAAAGCTCGGAATTACATAAGTAGTGGTACCTAATCGTGTGGTTACAGAAAAATTTGTGGTTATATTTGAAGTTTTTATTCGAACGGCCCATGCAAAACAACTCTACTGATATTCAAGACAGGCACAGGAAACTTAGAATGTTAAGTCCCTCGACTGGTAATGCATCCCTCACGAGCCGGTTGCCATTTTCTATCAGCTGATTCTTCTGACTGTTGGGCGGTTGGAATACATTAAAAAACACAAAATCTTACCGCTACCTCTCCCCCACTACACCAGCCCTTCAGTAATCGCTCCGGGCTGATTGATGAACCGCCCCCTCCCCGCGTTTAGAGCGAGTGATCCACGGCTCAGATCTATTACCCACTACATTACCGCCTGCTTGCTTAGCGCTTTTTTATTTTTTTATTACCAGCCATTCTGCTAATACAAACCCTTGTAATCCTTAGGTTTCTTACTATATACACATAATAAACTTAATATGCAGATATCGAAAACTGTTCTACCTTCGTACCCTGCGAATGAATTAGTCGAAAGAAGTATTACCACCTTACTTATTTCGGCCCGCCAAGTGGTAATATGAACATTACTGCGTTCTAAATTTAAAGGGCAAGGGTGCTGGTGAAATGTCAGTTAGATCTTTGCTCTCGATTTTTATAACTTAGAATAATAAAATAGCGAATGTTTATTTTTTGCATTTTTAGTAGGTTCGACTTTTTTTGTATAATATCCATTGACGAGACGAACAATCCTCCAATGCTTCATGCGCCTGCACGCCTGTCCACAACAGTTGCAGTGCCGTTCAGAGCCTTAAATCGCAAAGTTGTGAGGGGCGCGGCCACTACACCCATCACCTTGAAAAACAATTGACAAGTCCCATGTACCTGTAATTTCACCAGCACCCTTATCCTTCAAAACCGAAACGCAGTAATGGTGACATTACTGCTTGGAGGCAGAAATAGGTAAGGTGGCAGTACTTTCCTGGACGAACTGTTTCCCAAGGATTTCCGACACTGGTAAGCTTATCACTGCCCCGGATCTAGGGAGAGCAAACTGGGCAGCAGTCTCAGGGGGTGCCAAAATAATAATATATAATTTGTTTGAAAAAAAAACTCGTTTCATAAGCGCCTAGCATCCCGCGCACGTTGTTCTATCGAGTGCTCTGTTATTTCTCGACACATCCTAAGTTAATTTATAAACGTATCCTTTATTTTGAACGCTTGATTGTCTGTTGTGTTTCCTGGTTGTATATTTCCTTTATTTAATTTTATGTCATACAAATAAAAAAGGTAATAGGTAATAAAGAGTGCAAATTTACTAAAGAGTTGCTTATTCTCACCCGTCACACATATGCCACCATATATACGTCATACGTATGACAGATCCGGAGCTAGTTTTTAAATAAATCGGTAAATACAATGAATAATTATTAACATTAACCCGTCTGATGATGGTCTAAAGATAAGATAAGGATGAGTAAGATGTTGGTGCATTGCAAACATTTTCGTTTGCAACGGCATCAGAAAAATGTATAGAATTGCCATGAGGTTTATATTTTACGATTCATTAATAAAATAACAAACATACTAGCTTCGTAGTAGTTGAGTAAAAATAAGTGTTTAGTGACGCCATCTGACGCAAACTAGTGGTATCATTTGGTTCACCTACATTCAAATTCAATTCTCATTAGTTTCATCAAGATGATCGTGCTCACTCGCAGTACTATCAGAGTCATCTATCGATTGTGCCAAGAACAATTACATAAGATTATAATGTTACTATGGCAATTATGGCAAAATCCCATCATTTTTGAGAGGCATCTGCTTGGCAGTAAGATAAATGTACATGACGGGAATCTTAAATGCTTAAAACAGTAAATTTCATTTAAAGGAAACATTATTTTGGATTTCTTAAGGTTTTTATGTACGTTTATGAATTTATAAAGATTAATAGATTCGAAATTTCAACGCAAATCGCTGTACTTTTCACTGTATGAAAGACATCAACGTTATCCCACTGCGAAATCAGTTTGTAAAGTGGTATAAATACAAAACTTATGTAATCATATGTAAAAAGTGTTTTTATCACATGAAAGTCTTACAAATAACATATGTTAGATGAAAAAAATATGTGGAATTTTATAACTTAATTTAATAAAAAATTTAATATTTATGTTTAAGAATTATAGAATTAAAGACTAATTTAATCGTAGAATTTTTAAATTTCTCTCCTGAAGAGTAGAAGTATAGTAGTATTAAAAGTATTATTAAAGTATTATTATTATTATTATTATTTCATTATTTATTTTTATTATTTAGTATTTTGCAGATTTTTTTATAACATTAAGTGACGGGACGAACAAGTCAACAACAAGATGGTAAGATGTCATGGACACGCCTGTCCATGACAGTTGCAGTGCCTCTCGAGCTTTAAATCGCAAAGATCTATATGGCACTACCACTACACCCGTCACCCTGAGCCTTAAGTTGACAAGTCCCATGTGTCTGCAATTTCAACATGTGTCTGCAATTTCAACAGCACCCTTACCCTTTAAAAACGGAACGCAGTAATGCTAACATTACTGCTTGGCGGCAGAAATAGGGAAGGTAGCAGTACCTACTTCCCTGGACGAACTCTTTCAAAAGGAGTTGTACTGCTACTAAATTGACTTTGTTATTGTATTACACCCAGGTTGGGAATTATTTAAATTTATAAATATAGTCTAACCTATGGAAAAATCGTCTAAAAGTGTAACGTAATCAATAAAAACTTCAGAATAATATTCCGCCAGAACAAATGCTAATTTTACGCAATAATAAGCGTGTTAAAACAAAAAACAATCAACACATAAGCAAACTCGGCATCCCTATTCCTCCCCATGGCACAATGATAAATTAACAATAATATTGAACGCGAGTCAGCAAGTAAATTAAATTTGTCAAACGTGGTTCAGTATTGTTTTGTTTACTCTTCTGCCTACTTTTACTGCATACGTTTTTTGCAAAGTGATATTTAGAGCCAAGTTGTATATTTCATTTCAAATTATTATTTTTCTTCTCGAATCTAAGAAAAATGTACCATTCCTTAAAACTTTGTTGGGAAACACAGTTGTTGTTTATGGTACAAAAACCTACAGTAGTAACACAATAACTTTGGCAATATTCGTGAAACAGTTCCAAAGTTTACCGCTAGATGGCATTGGCGTAGAAAACGTAATTTCTGAATAACGATTCAGAAATTACGTTTTCTGTGTTAAAATTTTCCCTAAAGTCACCTGTCACCAGTATTTAGTATCAAATTGATCGTGTCATCGATTGCATTTCTACGGTTATCTTCAATACTAACCGGAAGCGTCTCGAACTCGCGCCCATCTTTCTAAGGTTACGAGAACACGTCTGAGTGAGTGTCTTTTTGTAAGACTCGCACCCACCGGGACTTGTCGCGGACTCTGCGTCGCACTTGCCTCCAAAACGGGACGAATCCCTTTTATTGCATACCCTTATATTGTAAGCCTATTGTAAGCTGTTGTATAATAAACAATAAACCAAGTCTCCTTCGCCAAATTTTGTCGTTTGATTCCTGGACGTAGTAAGGCGGCACCAGCTAGCCAAGCGAATCTTTACCACCTTGTATACCTCCTCCTACTACATTACTAGAATAAAAACTCAAGTCTAACATATTTTAAACTTGGCAGTTGTCAACAATACTCATCTTTTGTCTGGATTGCATTAAGTATAGGAATTATTATTCATTATTTTCTGTTTGTCGTGGTTCTATTGCGGCGTTGGAACATTAATGTACGGTCGCGGTTTTGCTTGTAAGCGCGAGCGGTTAAAGTGTTTCTTAAATATAAAAGCTCTGAACTAATAGCCAATATGTTAGTTGTCCACGCTATTAAAACTTGGCTTTCACCCGTGTATTGCCGCAAAAGTTTTAACGATTTGAGGTATTTACGTATCTACTTTTTTATTTTATTGGTTATTGAAAAGTTTAATTAGAAACGCTCAATACTTGACATATTTCAAAATCGAAAGTATGTACCAGGAAGTGACAGCAGTGATACCATCTCGTGAGTTTTGGGATTATTTCAGTGTTACAATTTACATCACCAAGAAAGCGTTTCTTATTAAAATATTTTACATTTATAAAGGTAGGAACTTGATCATATGTTAAACTAAATTAAGAAAGTAAAAAAAAATCATAATAAAACATTCGTTTAATTCGTAGTAATTATATTCTTAACATGTTATATTTTCATTTGATTAAGTCAGTATAATGGTGTTTTGCATTCCTCTTTTCAAAACCTATTCGTTCATTAATTCGAATCGTGTCTCGCCGTTGGCCAAAGACGAGAAAAATAAATGCTATTTATGCTTCGATCGTCGCATTGGGTCTCGTGGCGCTTTAAAGGGAAGGGAATAAGAATGATTTTACAACTAAGTTTTAAGACACTTTTTTCGAATCAAAAAGACACTATCAATATTTTTATGCAACTTGGCTGTAAAATCAATCTAACGAAATGTTAGGGGGGATTTAAGGAGATGTCACGATAGGAACTGTCTGTTCCCTGGGCTGTGATGTTTGTTCCACGGGCTGAGGTGACTCCGGCTGCTTGCTGGGACCTGTCCTCAATATAGGGATGCTCCTTTCGCCAGCGACAGGCGGCGCGCGCTTAGGTGCTGAAACTGTGAGCACTCCGTCGGAAGACAAAGTACTGACTACGTCAGCAACGTCATAGCCTCCAGGAAGAATGTATCGGCGTGTAAATTGACGAGAAATGAAGCCGTGCTCGTCTTGCTTCTCTTCATGCTTGCCTTCGACCACAACGCAGTTGTTTGACGCTTTCACAGAGATCTCTTCTGGTGCGAATTGCTGGACGTCCAGGATCACCTGGAAAGATGGGAAACGAGATTATATTACTACGGTACTATTGAGCATAGTACTAAAAATTAATATGACATTGGTAATGTGGCTATACAGGGTTATTTGTGAAATACTGACAACCTCATAGGACCATATTACTAACATCATAAACAACAACTTTTGTTGCATGACTTTTAATAATTCATCACATTTTATTTTTATACAAAAATAAAAATATTTAAATAGATTGCTCTAAACGGTGACAGGTCGATGCAAAACGCAGAAGAGCGGGTGGAAGTCGTCGGGGAGGACGCTTGCACGTTTGAACTTTTTTATTAATAATACCAGTGATGGGACGAATAAGTTGTGTTTCTGGTAGTAAGCAACACGCCTATCCATAACAATGTGCAATGCCACTCAGAGCTTTATATTGCAAAGATCTTAGCGACTGCCACTGCGCCCGTCACCCTGAGACATAAGTTGACAAGTCCCATGTGCCTGTAATTTCAACCATCTAAACCGGAACGCAGTAATCCTCACAATACTGCTTGGCGGCAGAAATAGGTAAGGTGGCAGTACTTCCTTGGACGAACCCTAACACAAGGAGCTCTACAGATACAAAAAACTTACTACCAGATAAGATTGTCAGATTGTGGCCAAGCGTGTGTCTATTATACATAAAAAAAAGATAAAGATCTAAAATATTTCAGATAGTACAACAAAAAATTTAAGTTTATTGTTGGTAATTTTATAATTTTTAAAAAGTCATGAAACAAAAGTTATTGTTTATGGTGTTAGTAATATAGTCCTGAGAGATTATTAATGTTTTACAAATAACACTGTATATGTAATTATTGCGTTGTAATAGTTATGGCTACGACAATCACAGTAAACTAAAAAAATGTACATATGTATGTAGTAGTGAGTTCGTGAATCGTGATTTCACCTCAAGTATCAATCTCAGAAATCATCTAGCTACTTGAAAGTACCTACTGTAGGGTAAGTTGGGATGTTCGAAAGACAAAGCGAGACAGCACGAAACTTGCGATAGACATTGTACCCTAAACGCGTGCAAACATTATTTAACGTTATTTCTAAATATGTATATTTTCGACAGTTTTGAGTTAGGTTGGGTTGGGTACAAAGATTCCGTGAGACACACAAGGATGGTCTGGATAATCTAGGTGGAAATAATCAAGAAAGTACATTAATGCGTGCAAATTTCTATATTATCACATTTTTTTCAAAATCTCTATTCTCACCTGTTTCATCCTTTCCATCCTTTGTTGGAATCTCTCCCTCATGGTCCGCCTCAGGGCGTCCGCCCTCTCGAGGATTTCAGATGTAAGGATCTGTTTATTACAAACATTGTTTGTAACGTCCTTAAATTGTTTATGATATTCGCAAATATACAACATGTTTCCGTTTTCTATCATTAAGTATATTTGTGAATTAAATAGAAACCTTGATCTAGACGATCTATGAACCTAAACTATCTAAGAAGGTACGTACAGATTGTAACAAAAAGGTTCAATAATGCCATTTAAGAAAGTTTCGACTCGGAACTACTTTAGAAGTAAAAATTTTATATTTTATTTTATTACTTTTTTACTTACGTATTACGTATTTTGTGTTATAGCGACTATAGACTATGACTAAAGTAGTTCAGTGTTATGGACACTTAAATATTGCAAAGCATTATTCCTTTTTATTACATCCTGTACCAAATGAGTATACGCACTTTTTCTAACGCCTGTAAGATTCTATACGACCCTGTTTCCTAATTTTATCCGACGTCAAGAATGGCCGTATTCATTTTTCGATCTAAAATTCTAGATAACTTAATATTGCATTGTATCAAAGATATATCTAGCTTATTTTTCTCTTGGCATTTGACAGTAAATATGCTACATTTGTACAGAAATTTGACTATCATCAGTTTACTCAAAATTTAACACTTAGATTACCCACCTCAAACTTATCCTTAGTCAAATTAACAGTAGACGAAGACTCCTGACGGCCAAGATTGGTTCTCCATGGCCTGTAGTAGGTGTTCCTGAGGAGGGAGGAAGTGGGGAAAGAGGAGAGGAGGTCGTCACGGCGGAGCCCTACGCCGAAGTGCTGATCCAACAGGCGGGAGGGACGGTCCCACTCGTCCCACCAGTCGCGGAACATCATCGGTACTATCGACATCTGAAAATTATTTAAGGAGATTAAATGTGATTTACGTAGACACATATACACAACAACAGATGAAAATTAGCTGGTTATAACCGGCTTCAAAAGTAAATAGATTAAAATAATAAAAAACAATGAAATTCAACAAAATATTAACAAAGTAATCTACGGTTACTGTCTGTTTCAATTAATGAATTGAATACTAAATTCTAATTTACCAAATTAAAAAACGCCGAATACGGATGACATATTTTGACCCCCGAATTAAAATGAATTACTCATGATTTTTTTATGATAGCAAGTGACGGGATGAACAAGTCGTCTGCCAGACGGAAACAGGTAAGGTGGCAGTACTTCCCTGGACGAACTCTTTCACAAGGAGCTCCACTGCTACTAGATTATGAAAAAATAACCATTTTGGCAAACAAACAGGGGATTGTTGGCGAGATGGCTAATGTTAACTTAGAGGCGGACCCTTCTTCTTACAATCATATCCAAAAAAATAATGAACCGAATGGAAGTCAACTTCCATTCGGTCTGACAGTTCTCTTTCTTCAATCTCATTCATTTAATCATTACTAATTTCCACTACTAATTTGCGTAAATAATTATCATTGAGCTTCGTTTCTTACATATATATTACTTACTTATTATATATTACTATGTGAAGTAGGATATCTATTCCAAATAGATAGCATGTAGGTATACTGTCTCACTCTGTCGGTAAATATTCTTAGCAAATATCTATAGCCAAAGATCTACATCGATCTAAAGCTCACGTATCTTATGCCAAATGTACACAATATCTCTCCAACGTCTGTGTTATGTCCGTCCATAAATTGGTGAATAGTTGACGAAAATAAATCATTAACAATGTCCGCCATTCAGCGCGGACAAGATAAACACTACGTTATTTTTAAACTAGTATTTTCGGTTATTGTGCACTCATCCACTGTTAGCTACAATGAGCACAAATATATTTTTTATTTAGATGTTAGGTTAGGAGCATTCGAGATATGGTGCTGGAGAAGAATGGAGGGAATTCGTTGTCGATGTTAATTTAATTGCTACTTTATAATAACGCACACACACAACACAGCCCCGTACGAGGGTAACCCTGTGTCCACATAATAATAACCAGAAATTACACCCAAGACCATACAAATATTTCTCCCGACCCGGGAATCGAACTTAGGATCTCTGCGTGGCAGTCCGGCGTGGTAACCGTTCGGCCACGGAGGTAGTTAGTTGGACGGAAAGAAAAACCAATGAGGAGGTGTTTAGAATGGTGCACGAAAGGAAAAATGTTTGGACGACTGATACGTCACGACTTTCTAAAAAACATAAAAAAAGGAAAGATCGAAGGGAAGAGATAGAAAATCAAACTTAGGACACTGATCACAGATGGTTGGCGATTACACCACTGACAAGAGCCAAGTTTTTAAATAAGAAGAAAGAAGGTGTTCGGTTTTGCGCCATACGTACAGAGCAAAGGCTGTTAATCGGGCAACACGAGATTGATTTGATAGATTTTATAATGTAATTAACATAGTGAAATAGATTAGTTGACATGCAAAAAAAAAATAGTTTGCAATGATTTGTTAGGTTTAAATTAGAATACAGCTATCTCTATTTCAATCGCAAGCCTTCCAATGGACTGAGTACTAAACATTTCACGGTGAAAATATTGTTCTGGAACGATTCCGAATGAATCACAGGTGAACTATTTTAGATATGATGCAAGCTGGAGTTCACACGACGCGATTATCTTAAGAATCGAGTCGATGCTGAAATAGATGACCTGTTTTGATTTTACATTGTTAGAATACAGTGTAATAACACTTCAGAGAATTTAATAGAATATTTGATTGGCAAGAGTGCTTATTTGTAAATGATACAAGAAATGTCTTTCAAATCTAGAGTGTACTAAAGCAATCAAAACAAAAACGTGTTTATGAATAGTTATTTAATAAATATCCAATAAGCCGTCAAAGAAAATTTTCTCAAAGGACAAGGAACCAGTGTAGTAACTTTGTTTAATAAACAAGTTGAGCATTAATATGAAAGCTTTGAAGGTTTATGGTGAATATGCTCCAAACCACTTGCACTAATCGATATTCAAAAAAATGTTAAGAGTCAATGACGTCACGGCGCCATGAAAATTAAGAAAACAGTCATTTCTCTATAGTAAATAATAACAATAAAATTTATTTGTACCTTTGCGTTAGTGTTCGTTGCAGGCGCGCTGCTGTGCTCGCGAGACTGTCTTACTGGCGGCCCGCGCTGTTTTAAATAGAAATTTCAGCTGCCCACTCTTGCTGACTCACTGCCGGGAACACACCTTGAACTTGGCAGTAGGATAGCCGTATATCACTAATATAATTGTTTTTGCTACCTTTGTGAATATGTGATACTTATAATGGTACTTATATACACGTTCCTGTTTTCACACATTTGTTGCACATTCTTGTGAAATCTTATTGTTTTTTATTTTCAGCGATACAAAAATCAATTTAAATGGATACTTAAATGCCCCTGTTAAAACAAATAACTGAAAAAGCTAAAATATGAATGATCCAGAAAATAAGAATGGTTAAAATGTAAAATTATTACATTATGCCACAAATGAACCGCTAGATTGCTCGTAACACATATACCTACCTAAATGTCTTTGTATAAAACATTAAGTGCAAAATCTTTTGAATAAAAGAATAAAAACAGGAACATTGCACTGGGTACTTAACTAAGTTCCTTAGATTATGTTCTGAAGAAACAACGAGGTTGCAAAATTTCATGGCACTTGCTCATATTGAGTACCTCAATAGGTACTCAATATGAGCATGTCAATACATGCATGAAACTAAAAGAACTAAAGAATTTCGTTTTAATAAGAAAACAAAAACAGTTTGTGTATTTGATTGAAATGGTTGATAATAAAAAATTATACTTTATTACTTTATGCCTCATAATTAGGCACCTGGTAGCCAAAGATCGACATTGCATTATGAACTCTTATCAATTTTGGGCCCATAACCAACTTCTTGCATGATATCATCAGTCTAACCAATTTCAATTATGAAACATCTTAGTATATTTATCGATTACGAAAAATATAATTCAAAAGTATATAAAAAGTCAGTCGCCCGCTATTTTAATTATCAATAAATCATCATACTGAAATAATACTTGAACAACCGTCTAAATATACGTGGGTAAGGTATGAGTGTCATTCTAGAATAATCTGCTTGTTACAATTCGTGGGTTGAACGATTGTATTATTCTATTTGCGCTCTAAAATTTATCTTAGATGTGTACAAACTACGTCACTAACACTTCGCCGCGTCATGCTAATGATCATTGGGACTAGAATAACTATTAATCTAAATATAGGTACCGAGTGGTGATTGTAGTGTTGTTAGTGATATTTTTACTCGTACAGTCGACGCTCTAAGATATCTGAACCTCTAGCCATACTTTTTTTTATAATATCAAGTGACAGGATGGAAAAGTCGTGCACCTTACGGTAACCTTTAAATCGCAAAACTTTGAGGGGCACTGTTACTGCGCCCGTCACTCTGAGACAAGTTGGCAAATCTCATGTGCCTGTAATTTCACTAGCACCCTTACCCTCCAAAGCCGGAAAACAGTGTCATCTTACTAATTAGAAATAGGTAAGATGGCAGTACTTCCCTGGACGAACTCTTTCACAAGGAGCTCTACTGCTACTAGAAATGTTCTGGTCTTGAAAGCCTTCGTACACATTCAACAGAAAAGTGTAAAGGCTGAAATTTGTATTTATGTAATGTAATTAAAGATCAAATTGGCTCAAGAAGTTTCTTAAAACGTCATTCACTAATTATGCAATAAGGAAATCATACCAAAATGAATTTTACAGCTCACAGGTTGAAGGTGAAATTTACACTGATCCACTCAGTACTAAATAGATGGATAGTTGATTGGGTAGTTCTTAGGATATCAACTGTATAGGACGAAAACCTTTATTGCATCTCGCGGTGCACCAACATTGGTGCACGGATAACTCGCCCATCAAGCGGTGTGTAGGTAAGTACCACCGGCACCGGTCACGCAATATCACTTTTGATGTAAAGAAATCATCGCGGCCTCGAGAGAAAGTGCTAAAATTAACGTTCTCGCCCTGTACAATAATCAAACTAGCTTGGCTCTAGAGTCTTTTTTTTATGATCAAGTGACGGGACCAACAAGTCGTGTGCCTGGTGGTAAGCTACACGCCTGTCCTTGAGACTTGAGACTTGCACATGAGACTTGCCAGCAATAGTTGGCATGTCTCATCTGCCCGTTATTTCACCAGCACGCGTACCCTTCAAAACCGGTTTGATCATTACTGCTTTGCGGCAGAAATAGGTGGCAGTACTTCCCTGGATGCTCTTTCTCTCAGCATCCCACCTTTTTTTTTTTTTTTTTGACGGGGGGGAAATCTCAGCATCCCACCTGGAAAAACCTTTGGTTTGAGGGGCGGTGACTACCACCGAAGAAGACGTCGAAGAGAATGAGGAGGCCTACTCTCAGCAATGGGTGACTTAAGGCTGAAAAAGAAGATTACCACCAGTGGCCATATGGAAATCTATCCCGTCGAACAACAAATTACGGTCGTTTTGATCCAGGTCTGAACGTGTTAAATGAAGATTTTGACCTCTCATGCACTGTACTAACTAATAATGACATGTCTACTTCAAGTTCCAAACTACCTGGAACACCCAAACTATAACCAATTCACAAAACTTGGTTTCCCGAACTGGTCTTAATGGAAATCGAACACGGACCTCTTCATCCATTGCTCACAGTGTCAACCGTTGAGCCACCGAGGTCGTCAAATATTAAAATAAGAAATACCTACATAGTTTTACTTGGGTGGAAAGCAAGTTATTCCAAACGAGTTAAGACTCTAGGCCCAAGCCCGGAGGATTTCAGGATTACAAATTTACAATAACATATCTTTTTCAAATCATTTGTGAGAAAACCAAGTATAATTTTAAAGTAACGATATATTTGTCTCTCGATTTCGGGCAGTAACAAACTATATTTTGCAATGTGCACTTTCCTCAAAATGTGGTCAAAATTAATTCTTTAATATCCGCCAAATCACTCCAACAACTCTCATATTTATGTGTGTAATCAGTGAACGTAAATAACACAGTACAAGTAATAAAAACAAAGAAATAACGATTTTTTATTTATTTCGTATACTTATGAAACTTGAAATTGAGCATGTAGAAATTAAGAAAAAAACACAAACAATAATACGGCAACTAAGCTACATGAAATAATAAAAATATTAATAACAATATACCTCAATGAAAAACAGAATACCTTAAAAACAGAGCACCTGTGCATGTGGTTTAGTGATTTGCAGTAATTTGCACTTACAGGTGTCGCCAGTGTTGGCCACATTAAAAATAGATTAGTTTTGCCGTATCTCTTTGTAGTTTGTGAGTTTTGCCATGTTTATAATTTAACCTACCAAAACCGAGATTAATAAAAAAGAATTCGACAAAGCAAAAATAGCGTGCTTAAGCAAGTTTTTCGCATTTATAAAACGAATTTTACCAAAGTTTTAGCAAGGTATATTTTAAACTTTGAGATTACTTCGTGATTTGTTTATAATTCAAATGATTCGCATTTACGAAAAATTTGCGCTTAGCAATCATTTTTGTAATATTAAACCAGAATTTGTTCTTTTTCTTAAATGTAGATCTTTCAAACTCAAAGTACACAAGTAGAAGATTTCACACAATTAGAAATAGTCGGACGACTAATACCATCTGTTCGAGTATTTTAGATTTTAGCGATAATATGATGGATGACTTTTGAACACCTTATTAGAACAACGAGCAATTTTTTCATGTTCCATACTGAGTACTAATACCCGATAACTTTAGATACACGTCGGTATGGACAAAGAAAAGTCGTCATTTTGATGGCACAAAATTTTTCAAATTAATAATTTAATTCATGGTTAAGAATTGGTGCCTCTAGACCATTTTATTTTAAAATGCATAAACCTAGAAAAAAATTCATTGACTTACAAATAAATGAACGACGGGTCTAATACAAAAACGACGAAAAAAATGTCCCAAGTCAACCTATTCGAAATTTAAATTGTAATGTCATCGCAGTATCGCGCTGTCAGTAGAACAAATGAAGACTAAAGCGGAGTTTGGCGCTCTGTATACGATTTTAGCGCCTTACAAGTGCGGACACTTTTTAGCGCGTACCCGACGTCCATATAATTGTAAGTCAATGAAAAAACTCAATAAAAAAATATGCCCAATTACAGAAACTATTATGGCAACACAGTGTTATCAGATCAATGTCAGTTTGACAAAACAAATTCGAAATAATTTTGCGGTGCCGTCGTTCGTGGCAGATTCATGTTTGTTTACCTTTAATTAGTCGTCAATTATCAGCAAATTGCAATCAGATTGCACGTAGTTATTGAGGTTCTTTCTACCACTAGTTGTTACATTAAAAATTTGTGAATAAATCGCGGACGACGATAATAATGTGGCTATCTATCTTATCGGGGTAAACTGCCGATAAAGTCTATGCCGATACCAATGGTAACTTGAGGGAAATTGTAAAGGGAACGTACTAATTACTCAATGCCGGTTGGAGTTGTAGTGGATAGCATGCACTTTGAAATTAGACACGAAAGTGTGTGTCTCGTAGAAACCTTTTTATAATAGAGAAAAAATTGCCTTTGCACCGTGAAGGAAAGACGTGATTCTCCACTGTATTGTGAACATGTTGCCGTGGCTCGAGCACCGATGGACAGGCCTCGGCCTGCTCGTTATGACGCTAGGAGCCTTAATTTTGTTCTTTTTTGGATTTTTCCCATTAAAATATCATACGGGAAAATTGGCTCATATGGATGATCTCCCCAATTTTATTGATGATATCAGGTGAGTTGCATTTTCTAACGATTTTAATGAATATAATAATAATTTATTTGTCAACTGTTATCTGAAAATTCATATTAAATTAAGGAAATATGGCATGCTAGTATGTCTTATTGTAATTATTGAGTATGGATTGATGGAAGTTTCAATTATTCTGTTCACCACTAATTTCTGCTTGGATCCAAGGTCCTCACAGTTACAGAAATAATTTCATAATTGATTTTACCTCCTCTGATTTGAGTATTAATAGATACATCAGGGAAAAAAAGAAGTAAAAATCGATTTTATCTAAAAAACTGTTGATGTACTTGTACTACTCATACTACATTAGTATGTCTACTGCCAAGCCAATGTTTCGGACCATTTACAGATGCCTTGGTCATGGTTGACTGCTTACCCGTGGGACCTGTAAAGTGCCCGAAACGTTGATTTGTTTGAACAAACAAATATATGCAAGTTACATCTTATAAAATAGATTTATTTCCTATGTGTAACAATCACGAATACCTGAGAACTCGATATGTCTGCTGAAAGTTTAGCTATTTGCCAAAAATGTTTATTATTTTGCATACATACTAATATTAAAAAGGCTTTGTGTTTACGCTCTTTCTTCCCTAAAATATGAATATAGCTAACATATAGTCAATTAATTACAAATATTTAACTAGAAAACTTAAGTAGCAATATTTTTAAATACTATGAAAACAAATTCAGTCTCTTTAATACTTAATTACTAATTCTACCATGATTTTAACTTAACACCAATATTTGTAACTTAAATATGAGGTGAAAATCTAAAATAAAAGGCCTTGCATGAAACTTATTCATATTTTATTAAAGTTTGACAATATTTTAAACTGAGAATAAATAATCAATTAAAGTATTTTATCTTCCTACACATCTATCTACAAATATCATAAAGAGATCTGCACACAAATTTTTAAATCTTTTAGTATTGATGGTCATCAAGTATACAATTCAGGAGAAAACAGCGTAATTTTAATGGTGATAGACGGCCTACGCTACGACTTTGCATCAGAACAGTACATGCCATTTGTTGGACAACTCTTGAAAAATAAATCTGCATGTATTCATGTGTCAGTTGCTGAGCCTCCTACTGTGACCATGCCAAGGATCAAGGTATGATAAAACTATGTAACTTTTGTCTGTTTTATTTATGGCTGTTTTATTTAAATAACAAAAATTCTAACAAAATTCTGAATACTAGAACTTTCTAGAATGTTCCATGCTTTGTAAAGTTGACATCCACACTGTATAACATATATTTGTTTGCATAACGTTTCAATTGTGCAATATTGACAGTTTTTTTTATTACTCCACAATGTGACTGGGGCACACAAAAATGTAAGAATCTTGACGGTTATGACTCCTCTTTAAAAATATAAGAAACAATATTTAAAAAATAGAAACATTAATCATTTATGCTAGTGCTATATTTGTTTTGTGTTGAAAGTGGTAATTTCTATTTAATAAATGAACAGTAACATTTTAATGGCTTACAATTATGATTTTTTTGTTTTCTTTATAACAAATAAACCATGTGCTATTGGCTTCAAGTGCATGTTTATTATTAACTATTGCCTATTATAAAGTTCAGTCACAGTACCAAAGAAAATATGTATATAATAATACCATTGACTGTTATCCAAGAAGTAGTATCATTGGGTGTGGTCAAGTGGACAAAGTCATACATAAGTAGGACTTTGTATTCTTTAAAAAATGCTTTAATGTGAATAAGGACTAAATGCTATACATTGCCTTTTTCCAATTCTTTTTGAAGTACTGTTCTGTTGAGTTTTTACTTATACATATATGATGATTGAATGATTATGTGCATTGTTATATTATGCAGTCACCGGAGAGAAAGACAGAAAAGGCACAGTGGAGGCGCACAATAAACTTCTGGCGGGACGTTTTCGCAAGTTTCACCTTTTTTATAGTATGCACTGGCTGCTTGGTGGTGAAACCAAAGAAAAAACAAATATAGTGCAATATACATCATAAGCTGTCATATGCTGAAAATCTTAACTATAAATTTTATTTAAGAAAAGTTTTTTCTTTGGTGTTGTGTTTGAATGCTTTGCATGTAGAAAGTAATTCTGCCATCCTTGTCATAACTAACGCAAATGCATTTTAGTAACTTTCTAGATATTGGCACCTAGTTTTTTTTTCTTTAAAAAATATCAGTTATGCTGGTTTTGCTTAACAATAATACTGAAACTAAATAAGGTATAAAAAAATCGCTTACAGGGGGTTGTAGAGCTCGTTTCCCTGATGAAATGTTGATTATGTTAGTTATGATAGAGGGGGCAGAAGTGTTGTTTTTATGTGTAATTATGTATAAGTTATTTTTAACATGCTGACAATCTGGCTGGAATAGTCCAGTTGTTTATGATGTTAGTAATATAGATTACTAACATCATAAACAACCTTTTGTTCCATGACTTTTTAATTATCCTATCTGACAGTTTTTTAGATAAGTTCAAATGCGCAAGCGTCCTCCGCGGGGACTCCCACCCCCGTTCCTGCACAGTGTTATTAGTAATAACTTATTACTGTTCAGAGTAATCTATTTAAATAAATTTATTTTTGTATGAAAGTAAAACATGATGAATTATTAAAAGGAACAAAAGTTGTTTATGATGTCAGCAAAACAGCCCTGCAAGGTTGTTAATATTTTACAAATAACCTGCTTAATGTGAATCATGACAGTTATTATCACATTGGTTTTTTTTTATGAAACTAATAATGCATTAATGATGTTGCTAACGTTTGTTGTTTGCTTTTAGTTATTTTTTATTGTTACGGGGATGGTCTGGTACTTGCGATATTTTCGTTGATTATTTTCTATTCAGTAGCGGGCTAGTCAATACTTTGTATATTATGACGTTAATTCATATAGACTGTTGCATAGACTTAAAACTTAAATTTAATTTAAACCAAAGTTATTTTAAATAGGACGTACTTACATATTTTATAACAATCGTTAAAACCTAAAACATGCTCCCTAAAAAATGTACAAATTGTCGCTTATGCCCTCTACAAAACACAGACGAAATCTAGCTTTATTATAATACATATTGTACAGCGCCTCTAGTAGTCACAAGAAAATACTATACATGGTATACAACGAAACATTATTGTTCCGTGTCATGGAACAAATATTTTACATGATAGAGGTACAGAATGTACAAGAGGTATAGAAGGTTAAGAACTCGTAACGCATACTCGTATCTTACTGAATCTGACTTTCTGTTTTATAGCGCATGCAGATACAAAGTTTTCGTGACTACAATCTCTATCTATTTCACGCCAGCTAGGTTTACAACTTCGATGTAAATCTGTAATTAGAAGCGGAGTAATGCAATGCTTGTAATACGAAGCCGTTATTGCGTGTGCTGTAATAGCTGTCGCTTCCGATCCTATTGCACTTTAGGTGCACACACTGGCTAAACGAGACCTCCATCCATGAAGCCTAATTTACTTGTAATGAAGTAATTTTCTTAAATCAGCTTATTGCGATAAACTGAAGTAAAACTTCTCGGGACACGTGCATTGGTAGGTCAGAATATATACCAAGTGGATTCCGAATGATAATCACCGACTTCGGGCTAGACCGTGCAGAAGGTTTATAATGTTTATATCACAGGTTTCGACTTCAAGGAACTCAATAAAGCGATTAACACACTGTCACCGCGCCCCGCGACGGAGCGTGGTACGCGGAATCACGCGCGCGGTGGCGGAGACGCAGATCTGCGTCAACGCGCGGTTTAATCTGCGCGGGGGCAGCGGTCTAGCGGCCCCGCGTCTTTTAAAGTACTCGCTTCGCAGTTGATCGCCGTAGTGATTGTATATGTAGCCGAGATCCTTCTTTGACAAGAATGGATAATAATACAGAACTCTTTCAGGACGCTGCAGTTATACTTTCTATTTGGTTTTTGTTTCCTCAAACAAAAAGAGACCGAAGGTATGGATATATAAATTTATATTTGCTATTGAAAGTCGATCAAATTTATCTTCATATTTACTTAAATCTTTGTATGGAAAATTGTTGAAATTATCCATTTATCGATCTGGTTAGTAAAAACAAGAAAATATGAAGATAAATTTGATCGACTTTCAATAGCAAATATAAATTTATCGACTCGGAGATCTATTGTAGAAAACTGAACATTATCCTTAAGCTTTAAAATCTGCGCGGTAAGGCGGAGCGCAGTGTGCCATACCCTGCGGTTCGCCGCGTCCCTCCGCGCGGAGAAGCGTTGTCAGTGTGTTCGACGGCGCGTGTTTTCCATACAAACTGAGGTACTCAGTACAACGTTAAAAAACGCAGCTCCGCGATCCGTCGCGGGGCGCGGTGCAGTGTGATAATCGCCTAAGTATATTTATAACAAGTGAGTTATGTCAGTTATAATAAAATGTACATGGAAAGAGACTTTTACACATTATAATAAAGAAAAAATTCCTTCCATCTGACAGGAATCGAAACCAGGGAAAGCACCTGGTTGAGCGAAGAAAAACTTTCTTATGTTTCTTAAAGACGCTACAGCAAAAAATCCCGTTAAAACCTAAAACAAAGATCTGTAACCAATAAAAAAATTCGTGAAGTCTACTGACTCGATCTGTACTTCAGTTGGTAGAGCGATCACCCTGGTATGGTACAGACGCTTGTTCAAGTCCTGTCAGATCGAAGGAATTTTTCTTTACGTTCAATCTGTGTATTAATAGTTACTAAACTATTGAATTAATTTCACAAAAAATAAATAAATAGCGTCGTATTAAAACATCATAATATTCATTACAATCAATATTACAATTTTCCTCATTATTTTAATCACTTTCGCTAAACCCCAGAATCAAGCTATGGTTTTTTTAAAAGTCTTGACTTTGAGGATAATTCCGTGCGCGCAATAAATAAAATTTATTCCTATTACGCATACTAATGATGTTAATGATATTTTATAAACATTTTTTAATAACTGGTATCTAATTTTTTAGTTATTCAGTTCCCGTTAAATTGTGTAGTTTACAAGCTAACACGAGCTAACTCCAAATTTTCGGCCAAAATTTTATCATAATTTTTCAAAACATTTTCTAATGATTTCGAAAAACCTCATGGTAAGGGTCATGTCTAATATTACCAATTCCATATTATAGATTTTTATGTAAAAATATATAATTTTTTAATGTGAACATCGATTTATCAAATATAAAAATTATGCGCAAAGTTATTTTCAAAAGAGAGCTGTCTTGCATGTACACCCGCGTTACTGTCGTGTTAGATAGAGACAGCAACACTATTATCAAATAACCTGAATGCTATAATTAATGCTCCTACTCCTACCTGTATATTATACGCCTCTGCTGGGCACACATTTCTATTACAAGGGAGAGCTTAATTATCACACTTGGCAACCATGTTATAACATTTCAATAAAATGTAAACAGAAAGAGGTTACTCCCCATTATATTGCAATGGTTCTTCTATATCGATACTTCGGGTAGGGAAGCCAATTATGAAAAATAAGCTATTGCTGTATTAGCTTTCAATCTCATTAGTCAAAGAATTGCTTTTCACCAAAACATAGTTGTTTTGGCCTCTATAGCCGAACGGTTACCATGTCGACAGCCACGCAGAGGTCCCAAGTTCTATTTCCGAGCCGGGAGAAATATTTGTATGGCCTACATTTATTTCTCTCGAAATTTTGTGTGTAATTTGTGGTTCACTTTGGTGCAGAAACTCTGACCATAGGACAGTGCGACGCAAAATTGAACAGACAGACCCAATAGTGGGTGACCCTTTACCGATTAGCATCATCGGCAGTAATTATTTACTACCTGTCTAGGCTCAAAGTACATTTGTCAATAGACGACATTGAAACATAAAATTACGCTATCCAAGCATGCGCGACGGACCTGCGGTAATACTTTTAAGTCAGGAGCGTATGCAGTAATTGCTATTGTTTTTTATTTATTCATGAAATATCGGTTTTATCTAAATTAATTGAAATGTAATTGGTTTTCTTTAATTGATTTATATTGCGCTTTTATACGTACAAAAAAGACATAAGATTGCTTATACCGGTAATGTACACACAATGTACGCAACACTTTTACTGATTATAGAATTTTATGTCTGTATTTTGAGAACAGGTAGATACAGGTCTGTTGTTCTTTAATTGATTTGTATTGCACTGATGTGGTCAGTTTTGTCATTATATTAATAATTTTATACGTACAAAAAATACGTATGACTACTTATACCGGTAATGTACCAACACTTTTACTGATAATAGAATTTTATGTCTGTACATTGAGAACTGTAAAGTAGCACCGCACTATTTACTTCTACGCCAAAGCAATATTGCTGTTGTCCTGATTATAGAATAGGGAGAGCCAATGCAATCCCAGGCAAAGGTCTTAAGACCTTATAATCTGCAGCCAATTCACAATGTTAAGAGTTCCTTAATACTTTGACAACTGCTAATATGGCCGCGAAATTTAAATTAGATTATATTAAAATGTAACTAAAAGGAAAGTCCATTTTGCGAACTGCCCAACAGATAGACGATTATAAAATTTTCATCACCATGGACACTCCTCTAAGGATTGGTAACTTAACACGTTTTTAAAGGGTGAACCTTCAACGTGTAGGTTTTATCACAATGTTCCTTCAGCATTAGCGACTAGATGTGGAAAATACTGCTTATGCATTTTAAACGTTAAAACGTTGTATTTTTTAAATATGCGCGTTTATAAAAGCAATTTTCACTTAAACGGTTTTTAGTTTGAAGCTTACAAAATCGTGCAGAAAAACGTTTAAGCGCATAGACTTCAAAAAAGCGTGTTAAAAAACCTGCAACATTGTGTTGACAACGAAAAGCCAGAGTAAAATATTAGTTTTATTTTTATTTATAACATTATTATTTACATTGACAAATTAATTTGTTTAGGAAACATAGATGGCGCGAATTGACACATTGTAAAAAGGTAAATTGTTGAGTATTGAACTGAGTATCGTTTATAACTTAAAACTATAAGCGTGCTTGTGTGCTTATATTAAAAAGCAAACTTTTTTTGATGAAAAAATTGCTTTTCGTTCAAACGCTCACTAGCGAGAGATATTCTTGCTAAACATTCGCAAATGCACGTAACTCGGAAGTAAAGTCTTACATACACATCGCCGGATTCGAATCATAGACCTCTCACTTGAAAAGCAGCCGTTCTCCCACTAGACCACCACACCTATTTTTAAGGTTAATATAATTGTAATTTTGCTACTACGCATTACAATTTAGATAATTATTGCAAAATATATGACAGTTATTTTACATCGTCTTTATTTCTATCTATTAGTAAAAATAAATAGTAATTTGTTAATGAAATATAGTGATAGACCTAACATTAATACGAGGATTAATAATAATAATAACGCACACACTCAACATAGCCCCGCACTAGGGAAACCCTGTGTCGCGGGTGCCATGGACACACATAGACAACCACAAATTACACCCAAACTCACGAGATAAATAAATGTAGGCCATACAAATATTTCTCCTGGCCCGGGAATCGAACCTGGGACCTTTGCGTGGCAGTCCGGCAGTAATCGTTCGGCCACGGAGGCAGTTAAAAAGGAATAGATAGAAACTGGCTGTTCTGACAGTCGTTTTAACAAATTCATTTAACGGCTTCTATAATAAGATTTTGGTTGGTATTTAAAATTTGCCATTTAAAGGGTTTAAAACTAAAGTGAAAGAAATACTTTATACTACTAAAGGTTATCAGCTTACTTGGATTGCAGAATTCTAGGTTTTGACCCGTTTAGCTCTTGCACGTTGTTTCGATATAATTATGGTATTTGGATAATTTCCAGGTTACTTTGCTTTATCTAATTTCGGTGGCAAATTTTATTATTTAAATGTTCTAGAATATTATTTCATATTCGAGTGCAGTAACCTGAATATTTCACGATAACGTACTAGAATACTAAAAAAATAAAAATTGGCACCGAAATTAGATAAAAAAAACCTACTTGAAAATTACCCATTTGAAATAAATATACTATAAAATGTGTACAAATGTTTATTTACAAAAAGCAACCCCTATAGTCTCTTATTTTAGATTATTTACAGGTAAATCTGCTTGCAAACGAGTAGTAACGTTCAATCGATTTCAAGTGATCAAATGATTTCAAGATTTTTAACTGCCTCTGTGGCCGATCGATTCCCGGGTCGGGATGAATATTTGTGTGGCCTACATTTATTTATTCCTTGAATTTGGGCGTAATTAGTGGTTGTCTGTGTGGTGTCCATTTGACACCCTCGACACGGTCTCCCTAGCGCGGGGCTATGATAAAAAAAGTGTAATTTTGCCTACCAAATAAATATGTTTTGATTGATCAATTGACTCTTTTACAATTATGTACTATTATCATTGCTATTAACGCTACACAGGTGTAGAAATCATGGCGTTACTTAATTGAAACCCTGGCACATATAGCTCGCTTCACTGGCTACGACTTCAACTAGCAGCTTTCATTTTCTATGCAGAAACGTAGCTTTGATATTTTACATAATACTAAATGTCAAATAATTATATTTTTTTATTTAGTAACATTTTATTACATTTGTGTGATATTTTTTTTAGTGTTTTTTAACCAGTCATTTTTTTTTGTTCCTTAACCGATTATTTTTTCTATGAATCTTTTTCACAAATTCAAAATCCAAATTCTAAACTTTATTTAATAATCAAATTACATTTTTTTAAATTTATTCAATTGCAAAACAGTTTAACGAAAAGCGACTCTTTTTTATCGCTAGGACAAAACTTAGTGGCACTTGATATTGTCACATTGATTAAAATCTCCTAAGTACTAAATTTGTAAGGCTGATTCCTCTGAGGAGAATGAATAACAAACTCCAGGGATTGGTCTTTGTAAATAAACATTTGTATACTTTCATCATTTACAATATTCATTTACTATATTTTTCTGTAGGTCAGATATTCGTTTAAGAGACAATGACGTTTCTTTCGTTTCTTTTAAAAAAATTACAAGGTTTAAAAAAATCGTGAAACAAAAAATAGTCCAACTTATACATATTCTTCGTGTTTGGATAACAAAAATTCCGTGAGTGATCCGCTTACTTCTCTGAAGTTTACTCAAAAAGTATTGTAAATTATAAATGTAACCAATTATAATGGGCCTAACTAACTAAAAGTATAGGCGTTCAGTTAGAATAGAACTCAGGCCGTTGTGCTAGAATAGAACTGAACGGCCTGTACGTTTACACCATAACTTACGCCAATTATATTTAATATATATGTATTTGCGACAAACAAATTAGACTGTCCATTAAACATTATCCAAATATTGTTGCATGCTTCTTCGTTTTCTAAACTGCTATACTTTTACTAATCTACTTTATGTTGTTCTGTGTATTTCGTATACCACTTAATTATAGATCTTATTATTACCTAATTTTTTTGTTCACCAGGCTATGATGACCGGCAGTGTGTCAACATTCGCCGATGTTGCTTTAAACTTCGGTGCGCCAGCCGTAAAAGGCGACAGCGTACTTCGAGTAGCACGTTCTAGAGGCCTACGCACAGTTATGTATGGGGATGACACGTGGCTCAGATTGTTCCCAGGGCTTTGGGTTGAGTATGATGGCACCACTTCCTTTTACGTAACTGACTACACCGAGGTAAGTCTCTTAACTAAATGAAGACTTGTATACGAACGATACGCAAGTTAGTTTTTTTTATAATATACCAAATGACGGGGCGAACAAGTCGCGACATGCCTGTCCATAACAGTTGCAAAGCCGCTCAGAGATTTAAATCACGAAAATTTGAAGGGCAATGCCACTGAGTCTTCACCTTGAGACATAAGTTGTCAAGTCTGGGTGCCAGTAATTTCACCGGATCTCATACCCTTCAAAACCGAAACGCAGTAATGCTCACATCACAGCTTGACAGAAGAAATAGGTATGGTGGCAGTACCTCTCTGGATGGACTTTTTCACAAAGCTCTACTGCCATTAAAAGATACTAGATTAGAAATAAAATTACGACCAGCTTTAACACTGAGGTATCTTCTTTTTCAAATTTATATTTCCTTTCAAATGTCATGACATAAATAGAGATAAGGTTCTCCCAATTTTCGAAAAGTTTATCGGAAGAATTTCGCTGCTATCTTAGCATAGTCACATAAACAATTATTAGTTTCAGTTATGATCAGGTCCAATATTTACATAGATCTTATCTAGTATTTTTTGTTTATCTTTGATAGTCTTCTTACCCCATTTTACGTTTCGGTAATTAATGCCAATTCTAATGACACTAGATTTAAATTTTAATATCCTTATTAAATCCAAAAGCCTTTTAAAATGGCGGTATACGCCACGGGACCACAAGCAATTTCTTCCGTGAACAATTACTTTTTTATTTACAGGTAGACAACAACGTAACCAGACATCTAGACAAAATATTAGCTCCAGATGAGACTAAAAAACCTAACTTCGACTTCCTAGTCCTACACTATTTAGGACTAGATCACATAGGTCACCTAGAAGGAGCTAGAAGTCCTAAAATCGCACCCAAGTTAATCGAAATGGACAATGTCGTTAAGAAAATTTATACGGCTATGCAGAAATGGGTAAGGGGCAAATAATCTGTATATCATCATCAATTGTCGTAATACGGTGTTTCAAGTAATTAGGTAAATGTCTACATATAAATACAAGATGTGACGTGGCATATTCTTAGAATTCCGGATTTTCGGAAACTGTCATTACTTCGTAAGAAAAAACTATTCACATAGAAAGCTGTAGTTGAAATGAATGAAAGTCATGTAAAAAATGTAGTAGATTACATATACATATAAAAGTATCTACAATATCCGCCTTGGGAAAAGGCATATTATATATATAGAATATTTCCAGACATCCGGAAAATTTCTGTTGTTGGTATTATTGTCACAGCTTCATTACTCCACAAAGTCTACGGATATTGTGGAGTATATAAAACCCAATGCTACCCTGAGGATCGAACAGTTGGGGTCCCGCCACAATGTGAATCAAAATTTAATTTATTTGTGGTGAGAGTACCAACTCAACATCTGTCAACCTTCATGAAGGAAGAGGTTTGGCCGAAGGGTGTCATCTGTGTCGACGTTTCCGAGGCAGGTTACTGGACACTCAAGTTGCGCCACACGTCGCAGTCTATACGTGTAAATAAATAAATTACATTGTTATATTATATTGTATGTATGTTAGTCTTTAAAGTATATATTATCTGGGTAATGTGGCCTGAAATAAATATATAAATTAAAAAAAAAATTAGCTATTTTATCCACTATGTAAACATTTATCTACTCAATGATTATCACTAGTATCAGGTTTCTTACCACGGTATGACTTCTTTTTATTTTCCCGATATTTCTTATATTTATCTATTCATTTGGAACACCCTATTTCCGACCATTAGTTATCACATCATAAACAGTATTTTTGTAGAAAAACATTAAAAGTTTGGTTCTTATTACAAGCCAAGCATATAATTGAATTTGAATCGTGCTCTTGACCCTGAAGTATTTCATCTGCATGCTACAGATATGCAATTATATCACCAATTCTTGTAGATCATGGGTAACAAGCATAATATAATAATTACAGGATCGTACAGGAGTACTGTTTATATGTGGCGACCACGGCATGCGAGACGCCGGTGGCCATGGCGGAGCCACCCCAGCAGAGGTCCTCGTGCCGCTTGTTGTCATCAAGAGTAAGAACTTCGTTTGCCCGCATCCGTAAGTTGACTACTCTAACTGCATGAAGGTAACACCGTTTCAAGCGAACAAGTTTACTTGTTCAAGTTAAAACTATTAGGGTGCCTATATGTATAAGGCGCGTTAGGGCGATTAACACTTAGGGCAGTAAGGGAATTAAGTCAACGCGATGGCGGTCGTATCGTTTCGTCCATCTAGTTCGCACAGCCATTTTGTTTTGCTATCGCCATGTTGTGCAGTAAAGTCAAATAATCTTTAACACTTGAAATCGTCATATTGATTAAACTCTACTGCTCATTCGTTAGACAGATTCCCCTGAGAAAAATGAGCAAGTAACTCTAAGAGGCTGCTCTTTGTAAACATTTGAATACACTTGTCATTACAAGAAATTAAATTTAAACGCACGTTTCTGCAGGCCAAAGATTTTATTAATATCGGCGGCATTACCCCAAAGCAAGTAGCAGTATTTATACGGCAATCACTTTGAGTGCACAGCTGTAATGAATCAACACAATGTTGCAATTTTATATTGGTATAGAATAGAAGACGCCAATCGTTTCGCCCTCAGTGTAACAGACGGTATTGGGTTCATCCTATAAATCAAGAAGCAATGCGTACAAACGCATTTTTGAAAAATTGTACGAAAATCTAAGAAATGATGAAAAAAGTTTTTCAATTAGTTTCAGACATCCATAAATAGTTTCAACAATTTGAAGAATTCGACTTTCTCGAATAATATGTTTCAATATGTCCTCTATCTTATTATTACAGAGTCGGCCCAGGGCCCACAGTAGCGCAGGTAGACGTAGCCCCAACCATAGCCTGGTTATTAAACGCCCCACTGCCCGGAGAGAGCACCGGCCGGATATTACCCTCGCTACTACCGGATGATATAAGGCAACATTTATATCTTTTGCATGTTGTCGCTTCACATAACGCAAAACTCCCGGGTTTGCCTACTGATAGAGGTACGGAAAGTATGGAAAATACGTCACGCTACCAGAAATTATGGGGAATAAAATATACCACGAATTAATAGATTCCGGCGTTACTTTGCGAAAGGCCATGTTAATAAAAATGGAAGTAAATTAATTTGCTACTCCGCGAACCCAGTGAAGGTTAAACCGAGTCTCGAACGATCATCAGCCCCTGAGGATGCCTCGTGGAGAGGCGAAACACGTCTCTGGTATATTTTTGGTGGTGTTTTGTGACTATAGTTGCGCTTGTGTTATTTATTTTATTAATTTTATGCGGAGGGAGAGTGGGAAAATTAACTGCATGAAAAAAATATTCGACACAAGCGCAGCTATTTTGCACGATTTAACCTTCACTGGATTCGCCAGGTAGCAAATTAATTTACTACCATTTTTATATATCACGATCACGAAGAATAATTCCTAAGGACTGCAACCCGCGTCTGTATGTCAATCTAGGGCAACTAGCCTTAATGGCTAGTTTACACGTTTTAAGTGACGAAGTGGTTAACTAAATTTTCTATCATGTAAAAATGTAACGTTTACATATCGTCGATGTTTTGTGGAAAGGGTGAAACCACCATTTTTTAAATTTTTCAGGGAGCATGCTTTAGGTTTTAACAACTATTCTAAAATATTTACGTCCTGCTTTAAAATTCAATTTTGGTTTTAATTCAATTTAAGTTGTAAAATTGAATTTAAAATAGGACGTAATTATTTTAAAACAGTCGTGAAAAACTGAAACATGCTCCTGTTATAATGTGTTTTTTTGGTGACTTTCACTGCCTCTGTGGCGAACGGTTACAATACTGTACTGCCAGACAGAGATCCCGGGTTCGATTCTCTGGTCGGGAGAAATATTTGTATGGCCTACATCTATTTCTCTCGTGAGTTTGGGTGTAATTTGTAATTATCTATGTTTGTGTCCATGGCACCCGCGATACACGATTTCCCTAGTGCAATGAGTGTGTGCTTTATTATTATTAAGTTGTAAGTACTTTGACATTTTACAAACAAATTGTTAGCCTACTAAATACGCGGGGTGCGGGAGTGTCAGCTACTTCGATTTCATTGTAATAGATTACAATCAAATCGAAGATATAAGTTATATTATCAAGTAGATAATTAAGTAGACTTAATTATTCACTTGATAATATAACAGCTGTTAAGTAATTGCTTACTAGCATGAATTTGGTTAAAAGTTAGTTAATTAATTCGTTACATGTAAACATGGCAAAAATGGCGGCATCATCAAAATGGCCGCTGTACAAATAAAGTATTTTTTCAAAAGCTATTAGAACCACGTAGGTCGAGTCCAAAAAAAGTCACAGCATAGAGGATTATTAGAGAGAAGTTTTTTAAGGCCGTAATCTAAATAATTGTCGCTAAGTCTTACAACAAAATATTGCATCTGTTTCAGAATTCTATAAACAATTCAAACGAGCAGTGGAACACTTCGCTCTATACCTCGTCACCAACAGTCGTGGCCCGGCGACGACAGCTAAGGAGTTCTATGAAGAGTCGTTGGAAGAAATGACCAAGTACCTTACGGAGACCACAGTCAGCTTTGACATGTTTGCTATTGCGATTGGGCTCTTTTTGCTTTATGCTGTAAGTACGATTATATTTCGATGCTTCAATTCTAAGATTTTTGTTTACTAATGTTACTACTACAGGTAACATTTCGCGTTCTTTAGAGCAAATACTAAATAAAAAAAAAATCGATATTAAATTCACAATAATTCTGTCAACTAACTAATTCCTTTTACGTGGAAGGCGCACATACATTGCAAAGAAAATGCACTCAGTGATACAAACATTATTTACCTAAATTTTCTAGTTTTTACCGCCCACGAAGAAATAATATGGACATGCCTTTCTGAATAAATGTATGGATTATAGTGGGTTTAATCCTGTTATTGCAAAATAATATTTTTGCACACACTTTCATAGAACTTTAGTAGCAATAGGTAGCAATAGAGCTCCATGGAAGTACTGCCAATTTACCTATTTCTGCCGCCAAGCAGTAATGTGAGCATTACTGCGTTCTGGATTAGAAAGGTAAAAGTGCTGGTGAAATTACAAGCACCTGAAACATAAGTTGACAGGAACTTGTCAACTTATGTCTCAGAGTGACGGGCGCGGTGGCAATGCCCCTCACTGTGGCACTGCAACTGTTATTGATAGCCGTGGGCGCTTACCACCAGGCGCACGACTTGTTCGTCCCGTCACTTGGTATTATAAAAAAAAACTTCTCGTAAAAATATTCTTTTAATTGAATATGACATATTCAATTAAAAGAATATTATCACAAACTTCCTTTGAAGATGGTATATGCATAGATTCGAAACTGTTAGCCTCCGCGAAAACTATGGTATTATCTTTTACGGCTTGAGTATGTCGTTTTGAAGTTATAGTTATACATTAAGTAGTAATAAATTAACTTCAAAACAACATTTATCCATGATATTATAATTCTTCAATTCGAGAATTCTGGGTTGGACTAAATTCTGTGGCTCTGGTGAAAAAGGGTAAGTCATAATAAACTCCAAGTTTACAAGGGTACGCGTGAAACACTTAACGCATAATATCATAATAAGCTTTAACTGTTTTTCGTTTGTCCCTTGTAAACTTTTTTTTTACTTGTACCCCTTTTCACTAGAGCGACAGAATTTATTTATATATTTTTATTCAGGATATTATTTTTTCTTGGAGACAAAAGTGAAGTTTTGATCAATAAACGCCCGATTATCCAATCACTAATCACACAATAAGTTAAATTACAATTATAGTACGACTACGTGTTAAATAATATTTTGTTACTATTTTGCAGCTAACTACAGCACTTCTCTGCGTAACACTCTACTCCCTCCAACCAGAAAATCAACGCAAACTAAGCAACACACACACTCACCGACGATCCTCCTTAGGAAGCATAATCGCCTTCGTCATAATGCTTGCTATTGTCACTTTCATACTAACTGTCAGTTGTTTTATCACCGAAACTAAAAGCCAAGTATGCTCTTTCGATTCACTATGGTCACTAGTCTTTATGTCTATAGCCATAGCGTTCACTATGAGCTACTTTATAATAAAAAGTGGCGTAGAAAAAACTCAAGAATTGTCAAGTTTGAAATATTTAAACATAATTGATTATTTACTTATTGGAGGAACTTTATTTCATGCCTGGTCCTTCTTTGGTACTAGTTTTATAGAAGAAGAACATATGACTTGGTACTTCCTATGGAATACGTTAATGTTCTTCTTGTTAATAAGGACTATAGTTGTTGTGGTGATGTATTTGAATAAAAGGTTGGTGGGGGCGACAGAGGTGCAGGAAAAATCGGAGTTGCACGAGCGTATGTGCATCGTCGGTGTTGGTATTTTGCCGAAATGGATCTTATTGATTGGATTGCATAGGTGAGTGTTTACTTCTTTTTATAATAAATATGTGCATAAATAATAGAAATAGTGACGTTTATGATTTTTTTGTTTTTATTTTATTATTTTTTAATAATAAGTTTATATTGTGGGCGCTGGACGAGGAGTTCCAGGGTTCTATTCCCGGTAGAACGAAATTGGGAAATGTTAGTAATCTGAGTATTACTGCGTTCCGATTTTGAATTGAGAAATTACAGGTACATGGAACTTGTCAACTTATGTCACAGGGTGACGGGTGCAGTGTGAGTACCCCTCTGAGCTTTGCGTTTTTGAACTTGAGTGGCACTACAACTGCTATGGACAGGCGTGTCGCTTACCACTAGGCGTGCGACTTGTTCGCCCCGTCACATTGTGTTCTAATCTGGGTGTTCTGGGAAGTGCCCCTGAGTGAATTCCGTAACTCTGGTTCTCAAAATCAGGGAATTCCCTAGTTTGAGACCAGGCAATTGGTGTGATTGTCTGGCACTTTATTATTGTTATGCGTTATGCAGTAACGGATTACACATTATAACATAGGCCGGGAAGTTAGAGATTGCTGGACGACAAGGCCGAATACCAGGGAGGCCTTATGTTATATATTAGTTACGCAATTCCTGTTTCCCCCATGGTATAATTAGTACATCAGTCTAAGGAAGTAAGCAATTGCTTGACGAATATTAATTGCATCGAGTTTATAACCAGAAATACAGACGAAATAAGGCCACACATTCCTGGTAATTCGGTGTTGTGGGGAAAAACAGCAAAACATCTAATTACAAAACAAACTGTATCAAATTTCATCGGTAATTAAATATGTAATTTTGCAATTTTCGTCTATTATAGCACAGCTCAAATTAACTGGTCGATTTGAAGTGAAACAGTTGACGACACCCATTGACAACGCCCGTCAATTGTTTTGAATTCGGGCTGGCCAATCGGAGCGCAGTTGTCACAGTAATGATGTTTTTGAATAGTTTTCAAACAAATTAAATGGCATTTCGTCACTATTTCTGGTTATATATTCGATAATTAATTGTGATCTCTAATACGAATCAAGCAATTGCCACTTCCACCAAGGCCTATTTAGAGCTACCACGTCACTGCAGCGCGTCAGGAATATTCGCGGTGGTGCGCACTGACGACTTTTCCGCTGTAATGCGAAAGAACCAATTTGGTGTTCCCATGTTGTAACATCTGTTAAAAAGTGTCGTAGGTGTAATTTAAATTATGTCTTTTTATGTAATGTAATGAAATTTAAAAAGTACTAACATATTTGCTATGTCTCCTTAACAAAGTATGGATTTTTTTTTTCTGAAATAAAGTATTATTATTATAGGATGACTAGTGACCATCCAAATTTTTCCTAGGCACTGCGTATGAACAGTTTCCATCCTATTATTATACATCCTTTTTTAAAAAACATTGGTAGGTCAAATTTGCATAATATATTTCATCCGAAGAATTTTTAATATTACTGGGGCAATCTACGCTCCACGCTTGACACTCCACTTTTTGAGTTCGAGTCGTTCGAGTTATATTAGTATTAAACGGGCCGTTATTTTTATCTTACAGATACTTAAGAACAATGAATCAAACTGGTGATAGATGGCTGTTTTTACCCGATACAGCGGACTGGTTGAATAATCCTGAAAACTCTTTCTATCTACAAGCGCATCTTGTAATAGGTACTTATTTAAGTTCATCAATTTTTATTATTCTAACATAATTTATAATTATTCTAACTGCCATGCTGGACTACCACGCATCCCGGGTTCGATTCCCGGGCCGGGAGAAATATTTGTATGACCTACATTTATCTATCTCGTGAGTTTGAGTATAATTTGTAGTTGTCTATGTGTGTCCATGGCACTCGCGATACAAGGATTCCCTATTGCGGGGCTGTGAGCGTGTGCATTATTATTATAATTCTTTTCGGCGATGGCGGGATGACTTGGACTCCTTTTTAAAAGACTGGCCAGATGTTGCCCAGGATCGAGAGCAATGGGAAAACGGGAAGGGGAAGGCCTTTGCCCAGCATTGAGACAAAACGGGCTTATAAAAAAAAATTGTTTTCAGACTATGTAGTATAGGCGAGTAAATAAAGTTTATATAAATAACACATGTGGAAATTGTAGTGAATTTGTGCACAGGTAAAGCGACAATGTTTAAGGCTTCCAATTATTTGTTTTCTTCACATTGAATTATACATATTTACTTAATTTCTATTATAGATTATGCTCAATAGATAGCACTCAATAAACATTAAAAACTGACAACTTCCCATAATTAATATTAATAAAAAATGTGGAATGTACTATACGAACAACTTTCCCCATAGTAAAAGGAAAGTGATAAATGTTTAAATGAGTTCTTACATACTTTATTTAAGTTACTGATTTAGGAAAAGAAAAACCTATGTGTGTGGATGTGTGTGTCAGCGGGCGTGTATGTGTGTGTGCGCGCGTTCGTGCGTGCGTGCGTGTTCACAATAACTCATGGAATATTTTGAGAGCGTCAAATATTAACACAATTTCGAACTAAGCAGTTGAGACTTGTCAATAAATTGTGACAAGAAAATTGTATAATACTATTGCTATGGTAATCATACGGTAGCTGCGGGATTTCTCGAAACTGCGCGAGAAATCTCCGGAAGACGCGCGACCTGTTTTTTTGGCTCGTATCTAATTTGTACGTGGCATGGAGATCACTATGCTGTGGTTTCAAAAATTTGCTTCCTTTCCGTTCTAAGGCAATGTAAATTGAACCATACCGTTTCAGCTAATTTACCACTTGTTGCAAAGACAGAAATATAATTTATTTGTGCGCAACTTGCGCGAACCAGTTGCGGCTTTCAGCGTCACAGCCGAGTACTTTGTTAACGCGGACTATTAATCCGAACTTGTTTTGTACGGCATTAACACTTGCTATTGTTTTTCTTTTCAGGAATCCTACTCACTATGGCAATATGTCTCTACAACCTACGTCACCTGAACAACATAATGCAAATGCAATCCGCCTTGACAGTCGTAGCCACAGCGCTCATTCTAATTTATCGAATATCAACAAAAGCTCTCTACACGCCTATCGAAGAAATGAAAACGTGGGACACGGTCATTATTGTCAACATTATCTGGGGTTTACTAGCCGCCCAATTTATATTCGAAGTTCTAAGCTACACAGGCGTTTTAAAAATAATCAATTTCGATCCATCAGTGAAGTACAACAACAAATTTGTTTACAACAAACCTAAAGCGAAAACTGAAGATTATCATTACGATCCAATAATCGAAGAACCGTGGAATTTAGAAGAAGTCAAATTAAATCTCGCTAGATCTCTTTCCCATTTATTGTTAAACCATTTAATGTTGATTATAATTCTTTTAATGAGACCTCATAATGTGATAATGGTACCGAGTGTTTATATCACTTGTATGCTAACGTCAAAATTAATGGACCATAAGCTGTTGGATAATAAACCTGGGAAAAGAACAGAAGTCGTAGACACATTAAGTCAAACGTTAGTGCATCTGTGGATTGGGTTCTTATTCTTTTTTTATCAGGTGAGTTGAAAATATAATAATAAGGATAAGACTCTACTTTTTAGCACTGTTTCTATACTATAGCCAAATTCGTTGTAGAATAAATGTCAACAAACAAAAACATGATTTTCAGGGTTTTCAACTTAGACTGTTTTACGGTTACAACGATTTCTGTATATAGGAAATGAAACTATTTTTCCGAATTTAAATCACGCATATTTATTTTTTCAAACAAACCGACGTTTCGGGCCCTTTACTGGTCCCATGGTCACGGTTGACTGAGGTGGTACAGTCTTCAACCAGTTATGTCTAATATTGATGCAAACCATCCTATTTTTTCACTATAGTTACAATAGCTATTAATTAAATACCTTATTTTTAATTTTACAAAGGAACATTCCAATTTACGCTACATTAAGTTTTACAATTTATTTTATTGAATGAATTTTATTAAGTTCAATTTATTATTAATTAATAAGAAATTAGAATAAATTAAAACATTAATTAGTACTGCAGTCTTATGTTTGTATATTTTTCCCAAATACGATTGTTGATAATACCAATCTTGTATTAAAATGAAGTCATGTTTGTGATAAATTTTCTTCAATAGAAATTTCTAATCACTAGGTGACTTGAAACCAACAAAAATTACCAGTAACTAATTATTTATGAATATTTGTCATCCCTAATCATTTTTTGGTTTGAAGGGAGAGATTGCAAACATTCCAATTCGAGTTGTAATTTAAATTCAGAATCGGAAATTGACTCTGGGTGAAATGTGTAGTAAGTTAATATAAAATAAAATCTTACAGTTTTGTTCCTTTTCATCAACCTTTACCTACTATCTAACAGGAAGCATTAAAGGTATCAAAAACTTAATTACTTTATTCATAAATCATAAATACCTACCTACCTGCTTACCAATTTAAATTCGAATTACGCGAGCATGGACAAAAAATGTTCTTTACACCTGCCATCATTGGTTGCCTAGCAACGTGTTATTATTGAACATTCTGTATGGAATCTGGCTAGAATATAAGTGTGTCCTTTATATTGGGAATCGTATACACGCTTGATACCAATACTTCTTCAATCAAATCAAAACTTCGTTATATATGTGAAACACGTTCCGTATAGATGCAATGTTGAAGCGTGCTGCAGAGGTCCAACTGTATAAATAATCTCTCATTATTGTCACTACTGCAAGTAGAGATGATTGTCACACTAAGGCTCATAACAGTGCAACGTAGATGACCTACGCGGACGTGCGCGACAGACGCGGGCGGTAAAATGTATTATGCCTATACAGCACATTCAGTGCGACGCAGATACTGAGGGCCATCCATCATTTCCAGGGCAGTCCGCGTTGCACTGTTAAGGCCATTAATCTTCTTCAAAAGTCGGACCACGTTTTGAACCTGAAACGAATGTTACTGTAGATCATGGTTGTTGCGAATATCACCATCTGCATCCACTGATAATTAGCAAATTATCAACATCAGCATCCGCATTCATCGACGCTGATATTCAATACGGATGTCCGAGTCGTGATACGACCTAAAACGCACGCTGGAATAATTTACAAACCTTCCAGAAACAAACTTATTATTTATTATTTACTTACTATTTACTTATTATTTATTGTTAGCCGGAAAAGCAGCCACAAAAATCTACATAAATAGATTTATTTGGATTTCTGTCGACTCAGCCGTTGTTTTTAGAAATAACTTTGATAAAACTCCGCAACGATTAAACTGGGCAGATTGATTGTTTTCATGCAGATTGATTCTTTTGGTAATTTTTGGTATTGTAATAAAATATTCTTTCGATGATTTTGTGTTATTTACCAAAAAAATAGATACCTTTTTTAATACATGAAATCATCATCCGATGATGTTTTAAAAATCTACGTCAGCAACAACCCTGTTGTAGATTCACTGATTCGTTTGTTTCTGGTTGTGGAGTTTTATTTTTTGAGTATTACTGATAGTATATATTCTATTTAGAATATATAAAGGATAAGTGGTAATATCAAAATAATTAGACGATCTTTGTAACTCTGCATTTACACATAAGGTCTCTGGTACAATTTTCGGCTGTACCAATTTGGCAAACAATATTGTCTAATTTGGTTTTAGTGGTCTTCTGAATACTGCCCTTAGAGTTACAACTACTCCATAATAAAGAATTCCCTTATTTGAGACCACTCGTACTGACTGATTCGATGCTAACCGAGCATATGATTAATCTTTTAGAATCATTAGTTTAAGCAGATATGAGACCAATCACTTGCTTTAAAGATGAAGATAAACATTGTAAAAAACTGCATATCGTAGAACGGTTCCAAAATTGAAAGACGTCTGTAACCCATATTGGGCTAACGTCGTTTAAAGGTGACTCGCGGGCAATAGCAGGACGTATAAGGGTAACAGAACAGCTAAAACCTGAGAAGCTACATCTGGATCCTAGTCAACGTCAATAGACGAAAGCAGATTTTTAAAATTACAGTTACAGCTTTAAATCATTGCTCTTTTCACAGGGCAATTCCAACAGTCTAGCATCCGTAGACCTCGGGTCAGGCTACGTAGGTCTACGCGAGTACAGCCCAGTAAGTGTCGCGCTACGTATGGGCCTACACGCATACGCAGGCCCTACACTAGCTGGAGCTACTCTATTCTGTAGCGTTGCTACTCAGGCGCAAACTTGGCAGCAGTGAGTATCTTGTATTTTACACTTGAAAGCAAATAAACCGAATTACCGCTTTTTACGTTTCTATGGTTCGTAAATTTAACTTGATTAGAATGATAGGTCGATAAACTTATCTGCCTTCGTGGCCGAACGGTTACCATGTTGATCTGTCCGGGGTTCGATTCACGGGCCGGGAGAATTATTTGTATGGCCTACATTTATTTCTCTCGTGACTTTGAGTGTAATTTGTGGTTGTCTATGTGTGTGTCCATAGCATTTGCGACACAGGATTTTTCTAGTGCGGTGCTATGAGTGTGTGCAAAAAAAATAGGACGACGTAAATTTGCAATGGCATTGCATTTTTTTTACTGAAACAAAACAATCAGTTTTATATATTTACGTTACCGTCATTGAAATTAACTAATAATCGAGGTTATCAGCGCAAGTAGTGTAACTCACATTTAATTTCTTTTCTACAATATTACTTTAAATGATACTAAAGTACATAAATATTTTATATTTGAATGCTATTTTCGTGTATAAAAATATTTAATTATTTTTTTTATACATGGATCCACTTTTGCGCTGATAACCTCAATTGATAAAAAACTTCGAGTTAATTACACTACAATATTAGTAATGTTTATTTTCACAATTTCACACAATGAAGTTACGTCTGACGGAAAAAAGTTTGTGATACGTCGAAAATACAGTCGAGCAACTCGTTAAATAGTTTGTCTGTAATTTTTATTTAATGTTACTTAAAATACTTTTATATACTTTAAGCTACGTTGTATGGAAATTAAACTGAAAATTAACGAATATACGTGTCACGCCTATTCGACGTTATTCGTAAGGCGGATCAGATTAATGAATTATTGATTCGATTTCAGTTATTATCATGACATAAAAACACTTGATTAATGGTTCAGTCGATATATTTTAACGTCGATTTTCCAATTTACTGATGTCCCATTACTGGTTCATGAAGTTTGAGATTGTGTCATTCTAATCAAGCTAAGTAAAGCTAGTAAAACAATTTGTACATCTTAGTAACATTGCCATAACCAAACAAATTTAGTTGGCTTTAACCTATGTAATGTAAGATTGACTTACTTTAATTAAAAGGGAAACGACTTCGTCAGTTTGCGAATTCTCAAACCAGTATTGGAATTTGAGTCATTTTAACGACGTTCCCACCAATAGGAGCAAGTTTGTTAATGAATAATAAACGCATGCTTGGCCATATCCCCTTCCCCTTCTGTCATCAGGGGACTAGACGTCGTAGCCTGGGGTTCCATCCCTATGTTGTGAATATTCCCAGGATTCACACGAAGCGATTCGCTTCCACATTTATATGGCGAGCGGCTAGAGCTAAAAGAAATCTATAAATTGAACCTTTTCAAGGCGAGAGTGAATAGGCATTATTTCGATGTGCATGCTACATCGTCACTTTCTATCAGAGGTCAAATGCGCACTTATTTTATATAAAAAAACCAATCCTTACCGCATTCCAACATGACCTGGGTTGAAGTTCAGTAAACTAAACTCTAGCTAATTGTTATTTTTCAGGTACTTACAATCAGTATGGCGTGTAACGAACATATACGCGCTCCATCGTGCCTACTGCGTCACTATATACTGCATTATAGCTGCAATATTCAGGCACCATCTTTACGTTTGGACAGTATTCTCACCAAAACTATTATACGACTTTGTAGCCACAGTATTTTCCATACAAGCCTTGTTAACTATAGCTGAGATTATTATTTTTACTTCTTTTGCTAGTTGGTTAGCGAAAACGGTGACTTTTAAGACGAAACTGTGATATTAGTTAGAACTGTGGAGTTAGTTAGATTTTTCATTGTGATGGATGTAATGCGTTTGATGTGTGAGCTTACACTAAGTATAATTAGTAGACCATCGTAATTTTATACAATTTTGAAGTACACACATTACCACGTTTTTTATGATGGTAAGCGACACGTCTGTCCTGCGACACATGTCTGATTTAATGGTCTGAGTGGCTCTGCAATTGCTATCATTTGCAGTGCTACTTAGAGCATTAAATCGCAAAGGTTCGAAGGCACTACCACTGCGGCCGTCACCCTGAGACATAAGTTGACAAATCCAATGTGCCTGATATTTCACCAGGGTGCTGATTTTGATTCAAATACGAATGGAGTCGATCCGATCGGCTAGTCTCGGAATCAGATGGGTTTCTGGGCGAGAAGATGAACCTGATTCCTGTTATATCTTTCTAGTTTGTAAGTTAAATCAACTATTGTTCCGATTAGAAATGTCAAAAGTTTCCGATCAGCCAATTGTGAATCGCAATTATGCGCCTCGACTCGGAAAAGACGTAGCTTCCGATCGGGATAGGTAATCAAAATCAAGCTGCAGCACCTTTACCTTTCAAAACCGGAACACAGTAAAGCTCACATTACCGTTTGGCGACAGAAATAGATAAGGTGGCAGTACTTTGTACTCTTTCACAAGGCGCTCTACTTCTATTTACTATTTTATCCAATCATTGGTATTAGCAGAAATTGGAGCAACAATAGTTCACATAGATTTAACAGTACGCGGTTGACTTTGTGTCATATACAGTCTGTCTTTATTGAAAATGGAGTGAAATTACATTTGTGGCAACCCTACAAAGTTTTCATAAAATATTAAACAGTCATACACTTGCTAGCAACAGTCTTATCGATAGATTGTGAAAGGAGATAAAATTTTACCAAAAATGTCTGATATGTGAATGTTACAACGTTCTAATGATTGCTAATTGCGTTATTGCCGTCTTCATTCTTATTTTGCCAGCTGGTATACTGGCATCAGACTAAAAAAAAGCGAAAAAGAGCTGTCGGGTGTGAAGCATGCTCCAGCTTCAGTTTCGAAATAACGTATTCCGTTTATCTGAACCAAATGAAATAAACCCAGCGCTGAACCTACAAATGTCAATTAGCTAGTCATCCCTTAATAAATAACTCAAGCATGAGCTCAAACGCATTCGCAATCACGGAGTCTTGTTAAGTTTTTAATTGTTACACCAAAGAGTGATCTTACTTGTAGCTTTATGAAATGAAAAGCAATTGCACGATTTACAAAGAATTGGGTGTAACACGGGCGTATCACGTAAAAGTGAGATTCAAGAAAATTGAAAATAAAGTTTTAATGTCTTATATCTTTTTAATATATATAATATGACTCTCATATACTTTACTATTCATTTGTCCTAAGATTTAGCTATTTAAGCTATTCAGGTGTTATTATTATTTTAAAACTATTAGGAACACATTTTGAGTACCGAGCGCCCTTGTTGTTCCCAATGCTTCAATTAAGACTTGTTCTAATTTGCAGAGCAAAATGGCGGTGTACGTCAAAATTACTATACTTGTGAAAATTACTTCATTAGCTTCATATAGCTGAACGAATAGCTCGCGTGTGCTTATATAGACCATTTCTAGCAAATACTTGAAGTTATTGGAAAACCAGCATAATATTTTTTTTATGTTATTTGCATATCTAAAAGTTCCTTTCTCTGTGTTCAATTTAGTCTTATTATTAATTAAATTTAAATAATTTTTTTAAATTTAAATAATTTAAGTAATAATTTAATTTTTTTAAATTTAAATAATTAAAGTAATAATTTTAATTATTTAAAATACATCATTTAAATTAAATACATCATTCCATGAACAATTAATTAATTAATCTTTCTCACAGCTTCGTGTGTTTGTCTTATACTATATCACGGACCAAAGAACAATCATCAATTTTTCATATCCTTTGGTCAACTATCGTCATTTTATTTAGAAGAATACAAATAAAAATTCTAGTGTCGTTTTCAAAATATTTATTAAGTTTATATTGGAACCACATTTTCTTCATTTACGTTATGATTATTTATGTCCCAATCCAATGCAACTTCCTAATGTAAATAAATCTAATATAATTACGTAAAATGTGGTTTTTTTTCTATGAAATATTTTGATACCCATATTTCTTTTCTTTTCGAGTGTTGATGATTAAAAAAATATATATTTATCCAGAGCACCAAAAACAAAAATCGTATTTTCTATGGACTTAGCAATATGATTCAAACAAGTTTTATTATAAAAATAAAATTTCTCAACATTTTGGAATGCACGTCTTAAAAAAATTGTTCTTTATTTTCCTGTCTAAACAGTAAAGTATCGAAAAATATACATTTTCTTTTGCCTTTACATAAAGTTTTAGATATGTCGATGTTACAAAAAGGTGTATTTTAATTAACATTTGAAAAATCTTTCTAATCTCATTGATGTATTATTTTTGGATTTTTTAAAAGCTATCTTTTCGAGCTAGCTTTTGTAATAATATATTTTAAATGCGTTTTCTAGTTGTAAGGACGGCAGCATATCAAGCTAAATAGTAACGTCTTGTTCCTTTGCTGTGGAGGCGATATTCGAACAAAAGTGTAGTTTGATGTGCTCTTGACTGAAATACGGAAAATAATTCTCCTACCGTTTTGACTCTATACCTTATTAACTCTATACCTATTATAGAGTCGCGGGGATTTGTAAGAAAACTTGGTTAGATTTTTTTTTAAAACAATACACCTTTCTGTCATCATTCGTGTGGAGTACAAAAATATTTAATGTATTTATGGTCTTTTAATTTGGCACTACGCAAGAAAAAACAATTCCTTTGTTGTAAATGCACAATACAGTAAATATTTATTTGTTTAAATCGAATGTAGTTTTAGTCATAATTACAATAATAATAATATGTACCTTTAATACACCTATTTAACCTACCTACCCCATTTTTACAGTAAAATTAACTAATTTACAAATATTGTCTACAAGGAGTGCTTATTCTGGAAGTTACAACTACATAATGGTGACAATTTTGTTTCATACATTACTAAACCAAAACAAAATTCAATGTGTGTTTTTTGAGTAAGTATTAGACGAAGCGTAAGCTATTATGATTGAGCGAATACCGCAATATAACATTTATGAAGACGTACTATTCTTACACACTCTTCCTCGCCAGAATAAAATTGCGTATGCGCAACTCAAGATGCGTTTTTTAGCTACATTTGTTATTAACGAGGCCCATAACCAGCAAGGACCTCTAAAGATTTAAGTGAAATAATGGTTTAGAAATATGCGCCAGTGAATAATAAACAAGAATAAAAAAATAAAATGCAATCTTTTGGACAGGGTATAAGATACTAGCATAGTATAATAAGACAAATATGGTATGGTAGATAAGTATCTTGGTCTGTATATAATATCCATAGTAATTATTTTAATGTAAACATTTACTCTAAAACTAGTTAAAGTGAGTCATAAGTTAATTTAGGTGTCGAGCTTGTTAGCTCATGACTTTTTTTGCTGAACGTTATCACTTCTCTATAGAAGAGTCGCTTTATTTATAAAACCATTGTGAAATTGAATAAATAAAAAAGTAACTTCATACAAATGTAGCACGCGGTTCGTATGTGTGCGCGCCCGCCACGTGGCCTGTACGGACGCACACATTCGCATAATCTCATGCACTCGCGTTGCATAATACTAGCCGTCTCAACGCGTCTTTCATTATTTATGAGAATGTGTGCGTCCACACGGCATGCGGCGGGCGCGCACACACTTTTGCATGGAGTTACCGTACTCGTTTTATTATACTATGCTACTAGGTACCTATGTACTTTTGTTGTCTATGTGATATTCGGAGTAGTTATAAATTGTCAAAAAAATAATATGAACATTAATCAGTAAAAAACTCAGCACTATAGGACCAAAGTAAACCTAGCTGCAATTGGTCTATATACTATAAATAACATATTTTTCTTTGTTCCGTATTATTATGAATTTGTTAATATAATACATATTTCTTGATAATTTTTACTATCCAAGTCAACATCTGAAAAACGGTTTAAAAAATACACATTGCAATACTACGTCAACGACAATGAAGTTTTACTTAACGGGAAATAGAGTACTACTTTTTATTCAAAGTATAATGTAGAAGTAATTAATCGTCACTACAAATGTAGGTATACACCCATTGTTCTAATGTCGAATTAGAGATAAAGATACGAAACGCTCTAATTGCCCTTAACTTCCAACACTGTGGAGCTACGTTCCATCTGAACCTTCAGACATTTAGAAAAATAACTATAATTTTATTTGATAGATGTTGTAGTATATATGCATATAACGCTCCTACAATGAATACTTTCCCGTAAGTAGCGTTTACATCTTCATCGTTCACTCGCTCTTCAAATCTCGTTTACCTGAAGCATAAAAATAGAAAACTTAAAGCATAATTAATTATTATAAACTGGTGCAATGGGAATGGCCCGTGCTAGGTATAATGGTGAATGGTGGTTGGCGAGTGTGGAATGCACGGCACGGTGCTTGTTTTCTGCTCCGGTATGACGTTTTTAACGCTTCGATGTAACAATTAGTTTAATTTTTTGATGAAATATGCGCTTGCACGCATTTATTCAAATCATCATTATTATTTACAAAATACATGCGAATTGAGAACCCCCTTTCTTGAAGTCGGTCAAAAACACGAATATCATGGTTGTAAAAACATCATGATATTCAATAATCTCAGTACAGAGTACTAAAAAACCGAGCTCAAAAGTTCGTGGAATTACATATACATATTTGCAAAGTTTTATTGGAATCGGTTACCGGAAGTGCGCGAAACCAGATTCATCCCCTAGATCGCCACTCTTAGAGGTGGAATATTTTCTTCAAATTTAAATGGGACCACTACCAAGGTACCCCTTTCCAATAAAAAAAAAGAATCATCAAAATCGGTATACAAATCTTCCTTTTTTTGAAGTTGGTTAATAAAAATAATACTATAATTTTAAGTTCATCATTCATTATCCCATACCAATTGACGCGGCAGCGACTCTGAAATAAAACTAACCGCTACGACTGCGGTGGCTCGCGGCTAGTCCTTTAGTGAAAAATAGCACAATTGTTTTAGATTGATTGCCAGTGTGGCTTGGTTTTTTAGTATGTAGAAATTATGTATGTAGTAAGTGATGAAGTATTGATAATGTTTATTGAAATGTATGTTAAAAAAAACCGAAGATTGTAAATCATTCGAATTGTAAATTTTCAGGACAAGTTATTTTAAAAGCGGGTTATTATTATATTAGTTATATATGATATATGATGTTAGTTGTTTTATCCTATACACGGATCGATTGCTCTTCACAATCCGTCGTTTCAGACTGATCGAAAAGACGGATCGATAATGTATGTTTATGTCGTTCACGATTATCTTGAACGCCAGAGGAGTAGCGACGGATCGATTCGATTGTCGTGACGATCGATTGAAACGAGTAATTATCTCGATACCTCCAATGAACACTACGCGAACTTAATTTTTGTGTTTTATTTTTTTCACAAAATTCCTTTTTTTGTTTTTTTTTCGAATTTTGTTTTTTGTTTCTTTATATTTTTTACAAAATTCGGGAAGCATAATATTACTAAATAAAAAAAAGCTGTTCGCATTAAAAACAGAAAACGAACAAAAAAAATAAGTTGGTGTAGTGTAGGTTGGAGATATAGATCTTCATATCGGAGTCTTAATAACTTAAATAAATTAATGACTCACAGGAAGAATGTTACCTGATTAGGGTTTTAAATAAGATGACAAAGTGATAATGTGCAACACTCACTCGACATTAGCAGCCGCGTCAGTGCGACTGCATCTTGTATCGGTAGACGAGCACGCTGGCCACGCCCACCAGCAGGCTTAGCAGCAGGGAGCCCCACATCAGCATCTGCGTAAAGACGTTACGATTGGGTATACTTTTCTAGAGCAAATTTTTATATTTCATATTAGAAAAATCCATAAATACAAAGCTTATAGACTAACATAATAGTACAGTACATACATATACATATAATAATATATAGTATAGAATTGAATGCAGGCTTATCTGTTTCTGTGTGTTTTAGTTTCTCATGACAATGCATAAGCTTATAATATACACTACCATACTGTACTTATTAATAATAATAATAGTCTTCTTAATCAGGACCATATAGGTCCACTTGTTATATTAAAGAAACCTTAGGTACTTACTATGTTCGTTTACAGTTTAATATTTATAAATGTAAAACAATACATTGAAATAACATTAAAATTAAAAATTTATATATTAAAATTACTTTAAAATTTTAAATTGAAATAAACTAAAATGAACATTAAAATTGAAATAAAAAATAAAATCAAAATAAAAACAGCGCCCCCTGTCTGAGCTACATTTTAATTTAACTCACAATCAACAATCTAACCGTTTACTCAGGTATTGTAGTATATTTAAAGACGCGTAAAATTTACAAAACATTTAGTAACTCGCTTATACTTTGTATTCCATTTGTGTTATAGGATATACACAACAAGCAAAGTTCAGGAAGCAATGGACTCACCTTAGCCCTGGAAGGTTTCTTGTCTGGCGATGACCCCTCCTTGGCCTCATCAGTAGTTCCTAACATGCGTTTAGCGAGACGCCTTTCGACCGAGCGATCGCGTGTGGCCCGATTCTCGCAACGCTGCAACTCCTTCCGCACGGTCGCATCATCGGGTGCGGCGGTCGCTGCGGCGCGGGCGGCAGCGAGCGCTTCCGAATTGCGCCCCATTGCGGATAGAATTCGCGATTTGCGATATAGCGCCTTGGCGTTCTTTGGCTGGCAGGTTAGGACGCGGGTTACGGCCTGTGAAAAAAAGAATTTTAACTTTGTTATTGAATTGATACTCATTAATAAAAAGATCGAACACTTCTATCCGGGCGGATTCGAACCGACGTCTTCTAGCATACCGTGGCAGACGCTATACCAACTAAGCGACGGAACGAACCAGCGGACCTCACGAATTTTTCTATGTGCTTTTTGGTGTCGCCGTGTCTTTGTATTTGGTTTTTTAACGACTTCTTAGCCGTAGTGTCATCTATGACAATCTATGAAATCATAAAATCTATGAAAGTATTTCGTCACCCAGTTAGATACCCTTACAGCTACCGTCCCCAGCTAGAGATGTCGCTATTCACTGTATTTAATTTTTTTATTTAATTGATATTCAATTTTTTTTTGTGAAATTACTCCACTAGCTTGTTATAATTATTAATACAAAGATTGAACACTCAGAAAAAAATTCTTCGATCCGGCCGGATTCGAACCGATGTCTTCTAGCATACCGTGTCAGACGCTATACCAACTAAGCCACGGAACGGACCAGTGGACCTGACGAATTTTTCTATATGCTTGTTGTCGTATCTTTGTATTTAGATTCCAGAAGATATCGGTTCGAATCCGGCCGGATCGAAGGATTATTTTCTGAGTGTTCGATCTTCCTATTAATAATCATAACAAAGAATTTTAAATTTTGTACCAGGAATTTCCAAAGCCATGGAAGACTTGGCCTTGCCTTTAAATTTAAGATGGAAGAAAAATTAGAACAATATATGTATATATAATATCGATACCTCCAACCGCTACGCCAACGTTTTTTATTGTTAGTTTTTGTAAACAGCCATATTTATTCTCTTATATATTATATTATGCTAAAATTAATCATAACTTTTTTGTGAAAAAGAAATAAAGAAACTAAAAACAAAATTAAAAAAAATCTAATATTGTAAAAACATAAAGAAACAAAAACAAAATAAAAACAGAACAGGTCCAATAATTAAGTTCGCGTAGTGTTCATTGGGGGTATCGATATGTGCCAGACAACTGTACCAATTGCCTGGTCTCAAATTAGGGAATACCCCCTGTACTACGAGTACCAGAGCAACGGAATTCAATCTGGTGCACTTTCTGGAACACCCAGACCAGAACCAATTAAGAAAAGTTCATTTCCCAAATTGATCCTGCCGGGAGTCGCGCCGCATCAGCGCCCACAATGTAAACCGTTAGGCCACCGTTGTCGTCAAAATAAAATTTAAGATCTAGCAATATAGCTTAGACGCCATGTCCTGACCCGAAGAACGAAAAATTTTACTATTATTTCGTATTCAGTTACATCTATTAAGTGTAACAGTGAGTACAAATAAAATCAAATGACATATTTCCAAGAGTTCTATAATAAAGCTAATAATATAATGTACTAATATTTTTACCAATAAATCACAGCTATACACTTTATTATTAAATAAATAAATAATAGACAACATCACATAGGTTGTTGCAATTAAATAAGCAACTACCTGTGTTACGGAAATCGGAAACAACGATGGTGTCACAAATACCTAGACTAAAACAAAATAGAAAACTTTTTTTTTCATTGACCCGCTCGGACATCGCACTCGGGACCTCGTCGCAGGAAAGTGTCACATTTTTTGTGTTTAGTTTTCTTTTGAGTTTGTTGTCGTGGATTATTATCAAATAATCTTTAAATATTAATTGAGTTTCATTATTTTAATTTACTCGTAGAAAAAATATTGTATGCAATCATTACATAATTAGGTCTTAAAATCTTATACAGTACCTATGAATTTTACCATAATATTACATTAGACAACATCACACACGTTGCTATAATCCCAAAGTAAGTAACTAAAGCATTAGTGTTATGGAAATCGGAAACAACGACGGTACCACATACACCCATACCCGAGACAATATAGAAAAGTTAGTTTTTTTTAAAGTTACTTATTCTGATAATAATGCTTTTTTGATTAGTTTCTGACGCGTTATATGAACCAAACAAAAGTATTTGAGAAGAAATTCGAAATGAATATCATCAGGTAGCCATGAGGCTACCCTAGAAGGGTAACAAGTTTCAAGTAACAAGCTTTTATGACGATGTTACCTGTAAAGCAGCCTCATAAGCTCCGGCCTTCAACTGCGCGGCTGCCATATTATTCTCAACACGCAGCCGTTCCTCAAGCAGTGCATGCAGAGCATCAGATGTAGGAGCCATGTCTCCGGTGACAGTAGGTTCGGTGATGCCGCCTTCGCTCTCGTCCAGTACGTCGAGCGCTCGTCTGTACAGCTGCACGGCAAGTTGGGCGTCGCCGCGCCCATACCACCAATTTCCTCGCGCGCGGCGACGGGTACTGAAATCAAATGTGGTTCAAATGACAATTTAGCACGCAGTTATGTAGGATCCCAACAATTAAATGGACACAATTTTTGGCGTTTTCAATATGTCAAATTAGGGAATTTCCTGTACTGTGAATACCAGAACAACGTTAACTCTGAAGGCAATACCCAGAATACCCAGGCTAGAATCAACTTAGAAATGCTTGTTTCCTAAATTGGCCCAAATCGGGAATCGAACCCGGAACCTCTTCATCAAGCGCCCATAGTACATACTAACCGATGTGCCACCGAAGAGCATAAGCACACCCCGTAATCTAAACCCGACCACGCGCCGCAGGCCTAGCCCGACCCCGCCGTAGATTATTATTCTCGATATCGAAAAAACAGAAAGAAAAATTCCTTCAATCCGGCTGAACTCTAACCAGTGTCTGTTGTCCCACCATGACTATCTTGTCTTACCGAGGTGCAGATCGAGTCAACACATCTTACGAATTTCCCTGCGTGTTTACTACAGATCTTTGTATTAGGTTTAAAAGACTTTTATTCCGTAGCCTCACCTGTGAAAAAGCTATGAAAGTTTCTTCAACAGCCACTGCTGCGTGTACAGTCGGCTCAAAGAATTTTTTCTTCGTGTTTGTTCGATCTTTGTATGTACAATAATAGTAACAAATAACAAACTAGTGGAATTTTCACACAAAAATATATGAATATCATGATATTCAATAAAACAAATATTATAGTTCGATTTTAGAGATAGTGAACTGACTGCTACTAATTTTAACACGTTTTAGTGAGGTGTCTGCTTCAGCTTTATAAATTTTCTGTTATCAAATTCCGATTTTTAAATTTGTTAATGGTTACAAATGATTAAAAAGATAAAATTTACCTCAATGACCTGCTGAACGACTCGATCCTTTAAGATAACACTATTTTTTATTTTATCGAAACCTACCGTCCCACTACATCGTCAGTCTACTGTCTCTAAAAAAATCCGACCATAGATTCGAGCAAAACTGGCGAGCTTAATTTCAGAACTTTTATTTCTCTTCTGCGTTTAGATTTATATCGTCAAAACACCCTATTTTACGTCTCGAATGTCGGATAATTTTTTTTGTATATTATGTATTCCGTATCAAATTACGCGATTTACGTTTCTATGTGCGCACCAAAGCACAAATCTTTTGGACACAAATCGTACACGATTTTCCAAAAGCTGTACTACTAATGTAGATTTTAAAGCTGTACTACTTCACTTGTATGGATTCTAATGTTCGCATGTACTGTACAGCGATGATTCCCAAAGCGATACATCGTACTGTTAATACAAGAGTGTATTAATTCAAAGTGTATTTTTTCAGAATCGATAAAAAATTAATTAATCACTTCTCGTGAAATATTATTAAGATGTGTGTAGATGTATGTATGTATAGATTAAAGTTTATAATAGAAATCTAAATCAATTTCCTACATGCCAAGTATATAATGAAGGGGAAAAAATTATTTCATATTTTTGAGTATGGACTATGGACAGAACCCATCACGTCCCGTCACTTGAAGTTATAAAAAAAAGAATGCTCTAAGCGGTGATAACACTGTGCAGAACGCAGAACCGCGGGTGGGGATCGTAGGGGAGGATGCTTGCACGTTTGAACTTACTACCAGATACAGATCTTAAAAGTGTCAAATAGTACAAAAAAATTGAAATGTTTATTTTTGGCAAATTTATTATATTTTGTAATTGTGTCATGGAACATTGTTTATGATGTTAGTGATATAATTCTGCAAGGTTGTTAGTATTTTATAAATAACCCTGTATACGTGTGTATTACCTAACAATTCCCAAACTAAGTTCAACAATCTGACGCGTAAAAAGAACAAGTCCAAAAACCCTCCTCTAACGTAAAGTAAAAAAATATTCATCTATTCTGAATGTTATATGTCACGGTTGGAAAACAATCCGTATAGATAAGCAATGTAACCTTGACACAATCTGCTATCTGCGTTTTGTGTGCACTGTATTAAATGTTCTCTATAACTTTACAATACTATCTGTTGTATATATTAACCCCCGAATACACATCACGTCTTAAATAAAAGTCTACAGCCCAGAATTTGGCGAAAAAGATTTCAACCCTCCTCTAAATAGGCGTCTAGACAGCAGTAGGACGTGGAAATTCACAAAAAAAAAAGATTAGTAGTATAGTATCAAAAGGATAATAGTATTTTGTATATAGTCCAAACTACAGACTATTCGAGTTTCGCGGAAACCTACTTTCGCGCCACTTTTCGCAGATTCGCCAGGCATCGCTGACGACAACTGCGGAATTATCGCGAACGCGCGAGAATTCCGCGGAAGACGCGCGACATAATTTTTGGCTCGTATCTAGTTTTTACATTACACAATTGACCATAAAGTTATTTTTTTTCTATAATATCAAGTGACGGGATGAACAAGTTCGTTACGCTATGTACAATATCGTTACAAAAATTCGCTTCCATTCCGTTCCGCCGCAATATTAATAATTGAGCCTAAAACATCACTTCAAATATTGATCTTACATCTGAATAGATAAGGTTAAACTTTAAATTAATTAACTACCTACAATGACAATGTTTTAATCAGACATGTTCATGTTTTCAAGAAAAACAATCGATAATTTAAATACAGACCGATTAGAATGTCACTGCTTGAACTTAACCGAGTTTAATCCTTATGCATTAAGCGTTAAGGTGAACTTTTAACCGCAGCAGCGAACTGATGAGAGAGGTAATGATAATGTAATGTCAAATGTGCATGAAATAGGTCAACAATGCAATCGTGAACTTCCGTAAAACTCGAATGACTCAAAAATTGCACTATATGTCCACGTAGTCCAATATCCTGTGCAAGAGTTCTTTATCAACCAATGGCTGAGCACGGCTCTCGTCTTAAAGGGATTATAGTTAGCCTATGTATAAATTCCCACTGTTGCATTGCGAGAGCAATAAGAAGAAGAGGATTAAAATGAATGGAATTAAAGGGTTTACGAAATCTAAATCCATTGGGAATCAAACACGGAACATCCTGTTTCACCGTAATTAACTCATTATTCGTCCCACTGCTGGGCATGTGTCTCCTCAGTGCGAGTTGAGGATTTTATACATTCTCCAAAAAATATGAACCGCCTTAGACGTACCGGTTGTATTATGATGTTTCCCGTCACCGTCAGCGCCCAGTTACGTGCGGCGACCGTCCAGTTACCACGTCTTTATGTACATTAACGGCGAATCTGAATTCTATTTACTAGGCAACAACATTTAAATTCCTCTGAATAACAAAACCGCGCGGTCGCTGCGTAGACCAAATTCAAGCCAGATTCGCCCGCGTGCCCGAGACGCGCATTGTAAGTTAAAACGTAAAAGCAAAATAAATGGAGCGTATTTTGCCAAGATAGTTGATGTGCTTTTCCACCGGCGAGGAGAGACAAGACGAGGCGATGCGAGAATTGAAATCTCGCCGACCTATTTCCACCAAAAATTGCCATCGCGAGCTCGCGCGAACACGCGCGTTGGACCATTTCCACTTTGAAAAATTTTTACATTTTTAAAAATCGTCTCGTCTCGCCTCGCTGGTGGAAATACACCATTAGACGCACGCGCTCGCTTAGCGGCGGCAACACTAAGTAAGTAACTTAGAAATTAAAGTCATAGGTAAGTACTATGTCAGGGACTCGAACCATAGAAATATCAATTGAGAAGCAACCGTTTTCCCACTGAGCTACCACCGCTATTATTTATCTTTAAATTAACCTTATCTGATATTACGCAGATTTACATTACGTCTTATGTATATCACCTTGATCGTCCGATAATACAAGATATTTAGAGCTTAGAGTGCATACCCAATCTCCATTCTTTCGGCTATGGGTAAAGTATCGTGTTCCGGTTCTTCTGTCCAGTCGTGAAGTTCCAGGCGCGCTGCCAGCCAAGTATCTGGTCCAATGATGGGACCTAAAACAAATGCATTTTCACTTCCAGCATATTTATGAAAACTACAATTGTACAAGATAATATAAATTTGTTTATTTGCAGAACACAATTCATAAAGGTATTATTATTAGACTATAGGTAGGTGTATTCAGCAGCTATTATGATATGAAAAGTTCTTCTTCTTATTATTATTGAATAATTAGGATCTTATATTAGGATATTATATGTATGTTAGTCTTTAACGTATATATCGACACTGGAAAAGTAAACAGTCTAAAAAAGTTACTTATGACTTTTTTTCTTAAAAAAAATACTTTTTCTCAGACATGCTCGGAAAGGTTTGCATTACATTCAAAAAACGAACACGGAAACTTTGTCATTTATGGACCGTGCAACTTCATCCCTACCATGGCCTGCAAAGTAAGTATAAAAATCTATTACTGTCCACTTCTATAAACTTTAAACTTTTAAATCTAATAATAATATAATAAAAATAAATAACGAACTATGTACCTAAACAGAGAAAAGAAAATTTCATACAGCCAACTTCACAGTGTACATAGATACGAGAATTAATAATACCTACCTCTGTAAACTAGTGTTTTGGTATTATTTTGTTTTAACGTCTTTTTCGTATTTTGGTCGCGAAAATGTGCTAGTTAGGAGAGCGATAACGAAAGTACAGTAACAGATACACATTCAAACACATAATCAGAAGTTCAGCAGACTACTATTAATGTGCGTAGAAAAACAATAACATTTTCTTTTGGCAACTGCGACCTGACACGTCTAATTTTACTTTTAATAATACTATTATATAATATATAATTAATAATACTTAATATATTTTTATTTTTTCTATTATACATCTTCCCCTCTTTTGTCTTGTATTATTTCCTCACATTATTTGAGAAAAATACTATACATGTCTTGGCGGGAACGGGGATTACTTGACTCGTATTAATACAAGGCCTCGCTGGCCCCTTACTTCCCAGCCTCTGCAATAATGTACTAAAAATCTCCTGTAATATTTCCCAAGTACACGTTAGATGTTTTGCCTTTCCAGGGTCGATGGTCCATGGGTCATAGTTGCCAGATTTAAATAAATAAATAAAATTATTATTGTTTTTCTTTCTCTCGGCTACATTTACGGACCGAAATGAAGTACATGCAGCACGACGCGCATTTATGTCGCGGGTGTGATGTAATGAGAACCTATTCCATCTTCTATCTGCATGAACCTCACGATTCGGCGCGTATTTAAAATTCCAGCTTTTTGTACGGTAACATAGTGGATTTCTTTAAAATCTAATAGCTTGTGGAAAAGACAATTATTATTGCTTCGGGTATCTATTTTATTATTATCCAAGCGTAACCTACCATCTCTTTGAAAATATTGTAATATCACACATGACAACTAACATAGTATTATCTCAAAAATTTCGTTAAGGTTAATTGTTATTAGTATACGATTTAATGTCAAAGTGACAGTGTTGCCCTGTCTGAAATGAAATCGTAAACGAATGGCGTATAATATATAACGCATTTTTTTAGATAAAATTTGTTATAACGCACTTTCTTAGATAATACTATGTTACAGGATGGTTACAGTCTTATCGCTCAACAGAGTCGGTTCCTGAGGTAGCTGCGCGGCGCGAGAGGAGTGTCAGTTTATGTAACAGTTATGTCGCGCCGACACGGAATAATTTCCAACTAATTAACCAAATTAGTCAATTGCTGTTATGTGAAACGATAATATGAAACGATAATAAAAAAACTATCTCATTTATAATTGAAATGAATAGACAAACCACGTAGCACTTTTTCAACTAGTTATTGACTAATCGTCGGAAAATCTTGTTGAAATTATCCCGTGTGCAGCGAGATATAACAGTTACGTAAACGGCCAGTCCCCCCGCACCGCGCAACTACCTCACGAACCGACTCAATTACACAGTAGACCTGTAGTTTTCATGTGCGATATGTTAACAATAGTGTCAACATAATGTCCCGTACCACTATCATGACTTTAGTGTCGATCGTCGCCATTACCAGGTAAAGTAATTATACAAAAAAATGTTAATCATTTTTGTGACTGCTGAGGCTCTGCACAATTGCCATACAAAATTGTCAGATTTTTTTTTATAATATCAAGTGACGGTATGAACAGGTCGTGCGCCTGATGGTAAGCTACACGCCTGTCCATTACAGTTGCAATGCCACTCAGAGCTTTAACTAAATCTTTCACAACTCTACTGCTACTAAAATATTGTTAACGAATTTCATGGTAGACACCTTTTACCTACCCTTTTCATCGTTCCTGGCCACCTACTTCGAAATTTTGAATCGTTCTTAAATTCCTTTTTCTTCTTCGTCACTTACGTTTCTTTTTTCCATCGCCACTCTCTACTGAATTTTCAAAGCGAGCAAACGTGTTCGACTTACAAAAAATTCTGACCAGTTAAATCATGTAACTTAACAGTATGTAAAGTATTATGTTTGTAAATATTTGAAAATCATGTATCCGAGCTGCTTACAAGGCATAGTATTTCTAGTCATTACAGGCCCTTTTGGTGTAAGTTCCTTTTTACCATAACCTGTATATAATTTAAGTAGCGTGTTTTATAACACTGTACCTGTTTTTATATCATTGTTTTGTTACAGCTTTTATGCCTTTACTTTACCTGTTCTTTTCCCTTTCTCGTTTCTTTATTTCCACAATGAAATTCATGTGAACGGAGCCTTTTATTTAGTTACGCGAGTGCCGCATGACAAAGCTTATGCAAATGTATTATGAGCAAAATTATATATATATATATATTATTATATAATACGGATTTCTATAAAATACCTTCATATTTCTGGCTATCGTCTTCGCCGACCAGGCCCAGACTCTCCCCAGGTTGGAGTCCAGTTTCGCCGTAAGCGAAGCGCGGAGCGAGTTGCAGCAAACATTCCTCTCCTTGATACATGAGAGTCAGTGCTAAGTCCAAGCCTTGTAGGATCTAAAAAGATAGAAATTGAATTTAGTTATATAATTATCTACTTTATTCATCATAATATGGTGCATGGTAAGAAACATTGTTACCAATCCTGGGATGCCCTATGTTAGGACTAAATTCACGACTTTTTCTGGATGCAATCAGATCTAAGCTAGGACCATAGCTCTCGAGATTCAATAGAGGTGCGCCGGAATAAGCTTATTTCTGCGTGGACGTTAAAACATCGTCATAATTTCAAATCGTCATAACAACTAAATCTACTTTCTTACGAGTAGAAACGACTAATCACGACTTTTTCTAGTGTAATCACGTCCAAACTATATGCTATGGTTTTTGAACTTGAGGAACGGTGTCGCTGGGATGAGCTTATTCCAGGATGGACTGTTTAACACCCTTCTAACTTTTCAACGGCGGACGACTAAATCTGGTTTTTTGCGACTAGAACCAACTAAATGGCGACTGTTTTACAATATCATAAATACAACGCATTAGGGCGCTTTTATTCGACACGAATTTCATCGCGTTCACCCCGTCCCGCCGCCGTGCGGTCGCCGAGCGGAGACCGCGTAGCCGCCGCGCAGCGACCGCGTGCGTCTAAGTGTGAGGCCAGACGATCGTAATTTTGTTAATTGTGAGTCGCATAGTTTGAGGTGCGTAGTTTGCCCTGCATTCGGTTTCATATAAAAGTATGGTTTGGTTCACACGATGATGCAAAATGAGTTATACGCCCGTGAGTCGTCACGTCGACTGACTTTCGGTCGCATCGTGCAACGCTGCGCTTAAAAGCAACTGAATAAAATACGTTCGTCTGGCGCTTCAACCGAATTTCGGTCGAGCGCAAACTGCGCAACTCAAAAAACGCAACTCACAACTCTCAAAATTACGCTCGTCTGGCCTCACCCTAACTGTCAAGGCAAAATACGCTCTATTTATTTAGGTTTTATGTTTTAACTTAAATGAGCGTCCCGGGCACGCGGGCGAGACTGGCTTGAGTTTGGTCTACCTACGCGGCGACCGCGCTTCAACCGCGTGGTTGTAGGTATTATTCAGAAGAATTAATACAACCACGGAATTGTCTAGCAAATAGAATTCAGATTCGAAATTAATGTACATGAAGGCGTGGTAACTGGGCGGTCGCCGAGAGGCGGCCGCGCGAAAACTTTCACCTCCTGTAACTGGGCGCTTAGTTTGTTTTTTTTTTTATTAATCAAATTTAAAAAATGTGAACGTGGTCGCGCTGAAATGACCGAAGCCACAATTTGGCCCGTAAAATTATTTTATTTTTATTATTATTATTTCTTACATATTCGTCATTGATTAATGAAATGTTAATAGGAAGAAAATTCGTTTTTGAGTTGCAATTTTGAATTTTCAACATAAAGAACAAACGAAAGCCGCTCATGAGTTCACGAAGACCACGTTCGCTCCTGTTTCAATCTCATTCACTGACTGCCGCGATCGGAACGAGTATTTACGTCGTCTTTAGATGCACTATTTAAAAAGAACACAGATACGTTAACGCCAACTTGTGAAAGCGTGAGTGACTTCTGTTTACGGAATCCTTTAGAGTGTATTCAGACGAACTGCATTTCGAGTGAATCGCAACTGCAAATAGTATGAAAGCAGTTTAGGTGCAGTCGACACGACTGCGAATAGATCCGCATATTACATCACCCACCACTCTCAGCTGCTGTAACACGGCGTGCAGTCGCGAAGCAATCATGGAATGCAACTTGCGTAACTACATACTTTAGTAGGCGTGACAAACTTGTCTTTACTTAACACGTAATTGTACTTATTATGATTTTATGGGGTTATATCCCAGTAGATCATGAGCAAATTTTAGGACAATACTGCATCACATCCTCGTGTAAATTTTGTCTACTTTCTTGCTATTTTCAAGCCATTCCTATATTGAAGTACAAACTACAACGTAATCTTATCTCCTGATCGAGTCAATGTTTTCTTTGTTTCATGCAGTTATGTATTATTATTCAGATATAATAAACACGAATCAAGTGATTGCTCTAAGTATATTCCTCTTGCGACAAAGGCTCTTTACTTTCAGAGTTAGCGGCAAAAAATAAAGTTCAGGCTCATCTTCAAATACGCATTTTAAAAATTTCCATATTCAAATTTAGCATGTGCAGATTATTTATCTTATTTGCAAATTCAATCAAGATTGATACAATACAATAAATCCATATATTCTAAGCCGTCAATTCTAAGGGTCGTATTCCAGAACTCTACTGAATGCCCAAGTCAGGACTTGAGCAGACTTAAGTATGATTTCAAGCGCTGGAAATACGACCCTAATATCAAGGACCTTAGTACTACTCAAGTCAGGACTTGAGTATTAACTATATAAACTTACATCCCCAAACATTGTACCTCTCAGATCCTCTATTATATTGCAAGTACTGCACAATGGGGATGGTTTAAAACCCATCATAAGAAAGAATTTATTCGTTCGAATGTGACCATAACGCAGTCTAAAAGCCGATAAAAGATATTTCCCTGCTATATTAATCATCAACAAGTAGCAAAGATGTGAGTACCTGTTTAACCTATAAATACTTTATCTTACATTTTAAAGAACAAACTTACTTCATTGTCTCCCAAATATATCTTAACTTGATCTCGTTTTTCCACCAGTTCACCTGTGTCCCGGATTTTAACTTCATAACTAACTTTGCAAATATCACTCCGTTTAGGTCTTTGCCCTTCCGATTCATCACCTTCTTTTATAATCTGTAACAAAAACAAAAAGGTGTCAATATAACACAATGGGTTTTTACCACATATATATTATGTACATCACATCATATCAAGCTTTACACTTTTGTTCAAATATCGCCGCCAGAACAATGGAACAAGGTCCTGTCAACTGTATATTCAGCCACTTGCTATACCTGTACAACATGTAAAAAAAGCCACTAATTTTATCTATGTAAATCAAATAAGGTACAATTGTATAACACTGAATAGCCTAAAAAATTGGTACATCTTGGAATGAAATAACAAATTGTACACAAATCAACGACATTAAATAGTTATGTTTTGGCCGCTGTTTAAAAGTTCAAGTTTGAAGATAAGATACCACTCCAGTAGTGGTAACACTCCGATAGCGACATCTTCAATGAGCTGGTTTCTTCTTTAATTTATTTTGACATTTGTGGTACTGTTATTCTTAAATTGTTTTGTAGATAATTTAGTTGAGGTAAAAGTTCTTTATAATTTTGTACAAGTTCTTAGTAATTATATAGCATTTAAACTTTATTTGGAATAGTAGGTATTTAATGGAAAATCTCGTACAATATTGGTTGCATACCTCTCACATTAGTTACCGTCTGTTATAACACACTTTGTTGATATTATTTTTTCTCCATCTTACCTGATGGATTGTGACTACAAGGTTGACAATGAGCATGCATACCTAAATAATGCCCACTGCTGCCATCCACTAACTATAATGCGGCTAAGTGGCAAATGGTCAAATATCCATTTTAAATAACAATGGATACAGCACGATATCCTCTTATAAAAACAGTTAAGATTAGTTAATGTGTTCCACTTATCGAAACTTACCCTAACAATGCATAGCTGAAATATCATAAAATAATTTCAATATTCTACAACCAGGTTATAGTTTTTATGATATCTCAAAAAATTATTTTCTCACTTAGTCCCGTTTTAGTTAGCAGATGGCAGAGTGACTGTACTGATATAGCAAAACAATACAGTATATTAGTCAGTAGACTGTTGGCACACAAATGTTAGGAATATCATTAGCACTAATTAATATCTCAGCGAATCCCAATCACTAAAATGACTTTGTTTTTGCAAAGAAAACATTTATGGTAACTAGTGTCAATAGAAGTAAACACAAAATATAAATAATACCATGATAATGTAAAAATTTTATTAATAAAATTAATATCCATTTTAGGCATCAATTTTATATATAAATTCTTACCTGCCTGACAAAGGAAATTCTCAAAACAAAATTAATTCAACATGCATTGTGCATGTGCATGAATGCCACATGCACGTGGTATTTATTTTTTTAAATAAACACTGCATGCATGTGGTATTTATTTAAAAATTAATACCATGTGCACATTGCAAACACCTCTATCATACCTAACATAATATCAATCAACTTTTACATAAAAATATCTTTTGGCATTTGTGTTTCAAATCCACTGTTTACCACATGGCAAATGACCATATTGCGCCATTGCCATGAACAAGTTTTGAAGGCCATTTATGCAAAACCAAATATAGAGTGTGTGTACATAAAAGAGTTTGTAATATACATTACAATACAGTCATACTAACCTTCTTAAGCAGACTTCCAGACCCTAGCACATCTTGCCACTCATCTGTTTTGCTTTCCAGCAACTTTTCTTTTTCCGCTGCCGCTTCCGCGAGCTTTGCCTCTTCAATTTCATCAGCGGCCGCTGCTGACGTCAGGTCCTCGAAGGAACTACTCTCCGACTTGTCTATCATCGCGCCCCGGCCTTCACTCATCTAAAACCACGATATAAAATACAATCCTCGATAGCACTTTTCTAATACGTAGATGTTTATCAATATCAAATTTGTGTCGCAAAAAAATACTATCCAACATTGCGTAACTACAATTTAGAAGCTGGAGAATTTACACCTACCTTTGACTAAGCCTTTGTAATCCAAATAACAAAAATACCACGCACTTTTCGAAATGATATTTCAATTCAACTTTTCGGATTTTTTCGTCAAATGAATGAAAAGTCAAAATAAGGTTTGATCGGGATAAACATATACATATACAAATAATTTGCACTCAAAAGTTAAACTAATTATTTTCACACGGAAACCGCTGTTTAATCAGTGACAATCATTTTAACATGCAGTACCTCTTATTTTGTACTTATATAAAGTAATCAAACCGTTTTCAAGATACACATTAATATAATATTTCCAGAAGAAATTATTGCAAAATCTGTTGAAGCGAAATGTGATTTGGTTTTTGATCCGACTGTAACTGTAAAATGTCAATGTCATAGTTACGTTACGCTTGAATCATTTGAAACGCTGCTAAAAATGAATCGTAAGAAAGAGTAAGCAAATAAATTATTTGTATTATATTATTCTTGTCGTGTTCACAATTGCTCAAAACAGTAACAAATAAGCACGTAGTCTGTAGCGGTCCGCGGCTAATTAATCGATTTTTCACTTTGAAAATACATTAACGATTGCAGTAAATATGCAGAAATATGAAAAGCTCGAGAAAATTGGCGAGGGAACTTACGGAACCGTATTTAAAGCAAAGAACAAAGAGACCCACGAGATAGTGGCGCTGAAAAGGGTGAGGTTAGATGATGATGATGAAGGGGTACCATCGTCAGCTTTGCGCGAGATTTGTTTGTTAAAAGAATTAAAACACAAGAATATCGTGCGGCTCTACGACGTGCTGCATAGCGAAAAGAAGTTGACACTCGTGTTCGAACATTGCGACCAAGATTTGAAGAAGTACTTCGATAGTTTGAATGGTGAGATAGATTTGGATGTAGTCAAGTCTTTTATGTACCAACTGCTACGAGGTCTTGCCTTTTGTCACAGCCACAACGTTCTGCACCGAGATCTGAAGCCTCAGAACCTGTTAATTAATAAAAATGGGGAGTTGAAATTAGCAGATTTTGGTTTAGCTAGAGCCTTCGGTATTCCTGTGAAATGTTACTCAGCGGAAGTGGTGACGCTGTGGTACCGACCTCCGGACGTGTTGTTCGGCGCTAAGCTGTACACCACAAGCATTGACATGTGGTCTGCCGGCTGCATATTCGCTGAACTAGCAAACTCTGGCCGACCACTCTTCCCTGGGTCTGATGTTGATGACCAGTTAAAGAGGATTTTCAAATTACTTGGTAAGATGATAATCAATTTACCACTTTTAATATTTAATATTAATAGGCTTAGTAACAATGTCACTTAGTAACACTTGTGGGTATTTATATAATAAAATTAACATTCACTGCCTTTTATTTGAAGACATTGTAACATGTGCTTTTGTAAATCTTTTTCACATTTTTAAGTTCATTAGAGGCACAACTAGAGAAATAAAATGAGTTAAAATTATTTGATAAATATTGCACAACATAATAATTGCTGAAGATTAAGAAGCGATAGCTTTTTAGATAAAGTAACTGATCAAATTTCCTATAATTACAGGCACACCAAATGAAGACACATGGCCTGGTGTAACGCAGCTACCAGACTACAAACCATTGCCAGTCTACCAACCTAGCCTAGGCCTTGCTCAGGTTGTTCCCCGACTCTCTGCAAGAGGGAGGGACCTCCTTGCCCGTCTTCTAACCTGCAACCCGGCTCTAAGATTGCCAGCTGACGACGCAATGGCACATGCTTATTTCCATGACCTCAATCCGTCTGTAAAAAATGACCGGTGTTAACAGTCAATCCACCCTTACAAGTGTACCTCAGAACTGCTACGAAGTGAGAAAAATAAAAACAATTCAGAGGTGCAAGAGTTTTGTGAGGAAGATTTGAAATAGTAATTGACTATAACAAAGACTATTTGATAATTGTGAAATAAGTGAAGTTTGTGGTACTCATAGTTCAGAATAGGTAATTGAAGTGATAATTGTATAAAAAAATAATTTTCAATACATTTGTTATCTTTATTTGAGTAAATAATGATGTAAATAATCCTTAAATCTAATTTACAATTGATATTGTGTTTCTATAACTATTTTTACATTAAATTGCTCATATGACAAATTGATCTCATTTATAAAAATTGATGTTTAATATTTACAAAGCATTAGAATAGAAACTACCATGAAACTGTTAATAATAATAAATGTATAATATTTGCTAAATGTATTATTAAAATTCTGGTAATTCATACAAGTGAACAAACCTTTTGTATAAATTAATTTAATGAAATAAACATTGTAACAAATTTTACACAACTATATATTTTCTGATGCTTCTTTCAGCTCTGCACATATAATTTCACTTACAATATCACTACTTTTTTCACTTGATGCTTTTAAATTAGATGAAATACTTGTAAATGATGAAGATTCCTTTGTCTCAATACTTTCCGACGTCATACTGCTTTTGAAACTCGCGGATTCTGAGGTAAAAATACTTTCTCCAAGTTTGTCTTTTTTTAATTCAGAAATTGCTGTCTTGCATAATCCAAGTACTTCATCCAACTTTTCTGACGCATCACTTGTGCTTGCATGTTGCTTGTCTGTTGACAGCAATTTCAACAATTCATCTGCTTCTTTTTTACTCTCTGATATCAATTTTTCTGTAGTAGACACGGCATCCTTTAATAGCTGCGGTTTTAACAATCTGCAATGTTCTTCCTTTAGCATTGTTTGAGTATCTTTCTTGTCAATATCTGTTTTTATTTCCTTGCCTATTTCTGTTCCTGCCACTTTTTCTTTTTTGTCTATCGCTAAATTTGTTTTGTCCATTTTTACATCCATTTTCAATTCGTTTTTATCAATTTCCTCTTTTTTCGTGTCTTTTTTATCTATCGTACACATCTCCATTTTGTTGTCGCATGTTCCATTCTTCATTTCCTCTTTTTTCCCCGCTTCATTTTTTGGAAACGGTCCACACATTTTAATCGGAATCATCTTTTCGTACTTTAAGTCTTTAGCAATTATTTTGTTAGCCGTTATAGCTAAAACACCGTCAGATGATAAAGAAGAAGTTACGGTATCAGGTGAACATTCCTTCGGCAAAATATATCGCCTTATGAATTGTCTTGATATAAACCCATAATCATCTTGTCTCTCTTCATGTTTACCTTCTATTATGATCTCACGGTCATTCACTCTCACGCTTATTTCATTAGGTTTAAAATGTTGAACATCTAGGATTACTTTGAACTTGTCTTTCGTATTGTCGATTGTCGAACAACACTCTTCGGCACATTCATTGAATAATTTCCATGGCCTGTAGTAATTTGTACTGTGACCGTTAAAAAAGGGCAGCAACACGTCTTTCGGCGAAAAAGTCATGCCGAAATTTTGGTCTAAGAGTCGAGTGGTACAAATCTTAGATCGATCCATCATGAAGCACGTAATCCCGGTCCACTGAGAGACTCTTAACTGTGTCAGACGCTTTTATAGACGAATGTTCTTCCTGTAAACAAAGTGGCTAATGGTTGTCACTTTTGTTTTATTTAATTCCATTAATTGCAAGGAAGATTTGAGTCACAGTAGACGAGGATTTCCCAAATAATCCTTTCAAGTTTATTGAAGAAGTTTTTTGGATCGACGATAATTTCTGCTGCAACAAATTATTGAAGGACATAATTTTATGGTAATCGACGCTTGCCGCCTATCTTAAATTTTGATCTTATTTGCTTCTAATGATTTAGTTACTTTATGCTAATAGAAGCACCAATTTTGTTTAAGATTGGCCTATATAAAAAACTACCTACAGTGCATACCTACCAAGCAACTAATTCTTCAACCCTGCGTTCTCGTAAATATATCAGTCTATAGTGATTGATGTTTGAACTTTCACGAGTAGAAATAGCTGACATTTTGAAATATCAAACGGGCACATAAATATAGCGGTACGACGATCGAATTACTCTCTTTGCAATTTGTTTGTTAAAAGAGGGTGGTCTGATTAAAATGGAGTCATGTGTTATGTAGGTACTACAAATGACTTGTCTGGGATCTGTCTTCGTCATCTTATAGCTTAGAA